CTTCATAATGGTTAAAGAGAAGAAATGGTGCCACCTTCTGGATGTTTCCAATGTAGCAGTAGACTCGAACCAGAGACAGGAAATCCTCAGCACGTTCATAATAAAGTAACGCAGTGTCCATGTCCGATTGACTCTCCAGGTACTGAGCCCACCACTTGTAGATGCTCCTGGAGGGAAAATTAAAAAATGATAAGATGTGGATGTTTAAAAAAAAAAACCCAAAACATGTCAACACCAGTCTATTGACCAAGGACCTAGGAAAAAAAAAGATTTTACTTGTCTTTCATTTTGTTGACATAGATCTCAAGAGATGCCGCATCATCCTGGAGCATCCTGGGAACTTCAGCCCTGTGCGTTTCTGAGTTCTCATAACTGTAATAACAGAAAGGCTCATGATCACACTAGTGTAACTCAAACACACAGTTAGTTCATTCTTAACTGTGTCTTACAATGCCAGGGCCAGTGTCTTGTTTCCAATAGACTCCAGGTATTTGGCATAACTGTAGTAGGTGGTGCGCAGGTGGATGCGGTCCTGGGTTTCTGCCGTTTCTAGAGCTTTCTGCCACTGACCGGAGGCCTGGTAGAACTTGTTCAGAAGGTCGTAGCGTTGACAGGACTTGTACAACTTTTCTGCATCTTCCTGTTAGAGAACAGTGACTTGTTTAGAACAATGAACTGTATTTGATTGGGGAAAAAAAAGGTAGTGTCGAAGGAGCAACAGGATCATCACTAAGCTACGACTAGGGAAGATCTGTCCGTGAAAGCTCCCTCCTAATGCGGACACACTTCTGGTACTATAGGAGACAGGAACACGTCTCACCACCATGCCCAGTTGAACTGCCAACATTGCCACTTGTGCGTCTGGCTCAGGCTCGGCCTCTGCCTCCTTTAGAGCTTTAGCTGCTCTGGCGTTTCCCATATTCCCCAGGCACACACGTGCTACATCCAGACGGCAGGTTTTCACACACATCCTGGCCATGTTTTCCCAGACGGCTTTACTACAGAGAAGAAAAAACAATCAATCTAAACACCAATAATTTAATCAACACAAAGGATAATAATATGAAATACAGTTGACTTGATTTCCACCTCTTGATGAGCTTGATTGACTTGAAGGCTTCGTCCATGTCTCCGATGGTCAGGTAGAAGCTGAAGTTGAGCATGGCATCACGAGTGGACTTCTCACAGTTCTCCAGGCCCACAAAGTCCCTGAGAGCTCTCCTGGAAACCATCTGAGGGAACTGAGTAGACGCTCCGTTGGACGGCTGTGTTGGATGAAGAGGTGCTGCTGCCTCTGTTGGACTTGGATCCTTCTCACCAGGCTGTAACAAATAATGTCACATGTAAAACATATGATTCAAAAACAACACTAAGCTTGTTTTAGGATAGAGGTTCACAGCAATGTACGAAAACACAGGTCATTCACATCAGTACCACAGAAGTAACAGTACTAAAACACATCACAAACTAAATCTAATAATCGACACCAGCTTCAGGGCAAACAGAGAAGAGAAAGATCTAGATGTAGAACCATGGTTCTCTTCAACAGACAGTGAGGGACAGATACTCACTTCTGGCTCATAGACACCAGCCCTCCAAAATAAAAGCTTGTAAAAGAGTGTTTTAGAAGTTTTTGTTACAAGAACAGCAATGAATATGGATTTAGGGAATGTCAAACCACTTCATCCCAGACAAACCAGGCAGTGAACAAACACACACCCGCAGAACTCCCGGTGCTCACCTTGCAGCTGAAATAATAGTAGGGCACGTCCAGAGCCAGAAGAGCCTGGAGGCCTGAAGGTTTAAGGTAACAGTCCTGCAGGAGGAGCCCATGTTCCTGTGTACAGAAAAGTGTGACCACCGACACGTCCACCTAGGAAAATAAAGACACAAAAAAGTCCACTTTGCATTTACTTAAAGTACTGAGCCCCAGTGGAAACAGAGTTTTAAAAATGCCTTCTTTGTTCAACACAATTTTGATTTTTGAAGCTTGAACATTCGCCAAATATATATTCAACTTCACCAAATACGGGATGAAAAAATCTTGAGATTATAATTTTATCGCTGAAGGAGTGAAAGTAAAAACAAACACTTTGGCGAAGGCACGTCTAATCAGCATAGACCTGGATAGTACACAGCAAATATTTTTCTATGTATTTGGACAAGAATAGAAGTTTTATTTTCCTGGAGCACGTTAAAACTTTATCTGTTCATGGTAGAAATCTGTACCATATCCATGGACGTCACTGATGACGAGTCAGAGCTGATTGGCACCGTCTCACACACAAACAGACGAGGTTCACTCTCATCCCAGAAGTGAGACACAGGGCATCGACCACTGAGCTCCGGCCCCTGAAACTGCTGCCTGGAAAAAAGCCAGAGGAGAGGGAGGAAGTCATCATGAGGAAAAACAAAACAAACCAACATAAACCTTTAGAAATATTGTCAGAAAGCAGTGAAGTCACCTTTCACTGTCTTCGGAATGGGATATACCACTGGAGGGTCTCCCAGTGAAGAAGTCAAAGTGTGTCACAGTGTCCATTTCAATGTCGTAGAAGTACACTTTGTGATCCGGCCGACCGTTGACCTGATATGAAACAGTTTAAATCAGAGTCACATTAAAAAACAGTTTTGGGAAAAAACAGCCAAAGTGTCACATCTCGCACCTGAGAGATAAGGACGCTGACTTGGCTGCCGTTGGCGTTACACTTGACGGACCTCAAGGCGCCCAAATTGATGATGTGTTCAGATAAATTCTTAGCACTGCAGTGAGCCTTAGCATCTCTTTGAAAACACAAAACAAAATTTACCAGGAATAATGATCCATTTAGGTTAATTTGTACATTTTATCCATACACATCGTACCTCCTGGAGAGGTCGAAGACTCTGATGTGAGCTGTGTCTGTACCAACCACCAGGTAAGACTGACACACACTGAGCAGCACAGGGTTTCCCTCTGCTTTAGTGAAGGTCAGCAGCTGCTTCACTGTGCCCTGAAGTAAAAAACAAACAAACCTTACCTTTACTTTTTTTGTTGAAACTCCATTACTTAAAAAATGTTTTATTTCTTATACTTCATACTTGACATCTTTTTAGTGGTAGGTAAATCTGCCCTTTGTTTTATTAGTGTTTTACTAGTGCATTTACTGCCTATTTTTAGTGTTCAACTAGTTACAAGTTTATCTGAATTTTGACCAGAAGATTTAAAGTTGGGCAAACAAACCTGTGGCGTGCGGATCTGGACCCTGTTGGGTTCAACCGTGTAGATGTTCTCACCATGTGCAGCTACGATATGGGAGTCACAAGGAAACGATCCTGGAAAATCACAAAGAGGAAAAAAAGAAAAAAAAAACTGTACTGCCAAATCTGATGTGTTATACTGTCATAAAAACATCTAAAGATGAATGTGGCTCAATATTTTACCCAAGTTTCGTAGAACTGTCCCTGTTAGCTCGTACACGGAGACCTGCCGCCCACTCCACACAGTCACAGAGTCCTGTTAAAGGTCAAACACACACAGTTACTAACAAAAAAAATTTATTTTTAAAAATAGGTCAAACTTCTAGTTTCCATTTCATCATTACCTTGGTCACACACACTCCCTTGATGTGTATGTCGGACAGCAGTGCCAGATGAGACCCTGTGCTGAACTGACTGATGCTGAGCTGAGTCGGAGTGAGCTGAACAGCAGCCAGCTGCTGACTGAAGTGAGCTGACATTACATGTTCACACAGGATGAGCACCGTGTTGGTGTTGTTGGCAGCCAGAAGATTCAGGCTGGAGCCCCACTGTGGTGCAGTGATACATTAATGTTACCATCTCCATTTTCTGGTGTTTAAATGCTGTCAGTCCAGACTGTACCTGCAGCTGAGTAACATTTCCTTGTATCTCTGTGGGTGTCTGTAGTTTCCACTGGACACTAGTGTCAGTTTTGCTGCTGCCTGGCTGAGTCACCATCCTCCACAGCGCTACACGGCCGAGGCTGGTGCCGGCTGCCAGCATTTCTGAGGAAGCCACCAAGTTATAATAAGGATTTATTGGTCACAAATACTAAACCTTTTTTCCCTCATTTATCACTCCCTGAAAACAGATGATGACCTGACATGGTGCCATCCAATTACAAGTCAGTTGTCAGAGATGATTAACCCATTTAAAAGTTAGAAAAGGTGGTGTGCAATAAAATGTGCTGTCAAAAATTGTTGTTACCTTTTGCTGCACAGTGGGACACACAGTTGATCATTTCTCCTTTCTCAAACCCCAGTGTTTCATCCAGAGATAAAATATAGTTTTCATCCCGTTCCAGGTCCCACAGCCTGCAAACAAACATTTCAAACTGAAAAAACTGAAAGATATTTGGTTAATAAACAGCTGTTTGATTGAGTAAGGATACTGAGAGGGGTTATGATGATGGTTTTGCTTAAAGACTCAAATCAAAGTCAGTGCAGAGACCTGAGTAGAAAAACTGAAAGTGAATGTATCTATATATATATAACTATATATGTATATATATAACTGACCTGATGACATGTTCACCTGCCGCTGTGATGAGAAGACTGTTATTTGTCCACTCGATGTTCATGTTCTGCCCGGTCTTACTGCTCAACTTCACCTGTCAGGACAAAAAATGACAAACAAAATTAATGTTGTATAAATATAAAATAAATTATTGCTTGTTTTTAAAATGCTGGTGTATTATAATAAGTAAATACTGAATAAGAAGTGGATATTACAGTATATTGTCAAATGTAATTTGCATATAAAACATGGCTATTTTAAATGAAATGTCATAAAAATGTCTCCACTGATGATGACTGTATACCTTCATAAACTCCTGAGCTCCTCCCTCAGGTCTCAGTGTGTACTGTGACAACATCAGAGTGTCTGTGATCACACACAGAGCTTCTCTCTTATCCAGGTAGAACAGTTTTTTGATGGAACCCTCTACACTGAGAAGTGTGCTGCTCTTACAGTGTTCATCCACATTGTGGACCTTACCTGAATAAAAGGAATAGATAAAAAAATAGTGATATCTGCTGCAATACGGTGGTAATGCAGTATAGAAACAACTGTAAACCTCACCCTCCGCAGTGCTGACGTAGAAGACGAGTCCCTCCTGTGGACCCATCTTTAGAGGAGCTCCCTTCCAGCTGAACATGTCCAGAGCATTATCATCTCCACTCACTGATGCTCGTGCTAACTTCGCTACATCACTGTATGTTTTGGAATGAAATAATTTGTGTTAGTACTGTTTTCTTTCGACACAGTTGTTAATTCGAGCGGCGAAAGAACAACAACCCTGTACGTACACTCCAGGTGAAGTAGGTCTGAAGGTGCAGCAGGTTAGAGGTTTATGATATTCATGTTTCACCAGATGGTTTCCCTGAAGTCTTCCTCTGGGATCAACCTTCCATACAGCTAAAACTCCAGCCTGTCGGTGAGAAGAAACGTTTCAATATCCAGATGAGATGTTTATATACAACTCACTTACTATAACTAACCAGCTCTTGTGCACTAAGACACAATTTACAGATAGAAAGTGCATCAAGAACAAATCTGAACACTGTAGTGTGTACTGGTGAGACGAGACAACTGTCTATGAAAACAAATATTTTATACAGTTTTAAAATATCAATACAAAACTCCAATAAACAATAGATAACCATATTTTTAATGTACCTTTAAACATAAAGATGAAACTAAAGAAAAGAAGAAGAGTGTGTTACATAGTGTTAACACACTAACCTGATCTCCAGTCACCAGACGGCTTCCTGAGCTGCTCCACTCTATCACCGTGATAGCGGCTAGGTGTGTGCTGGAGAGGACAGTTTGATCTCCTGAGGGGTGTGTCAGCACCATGACCTCTCCATTCTCCCAGCCCACTGCCAGCACTGGCTTCAGTGGATGCCAGCGCAGTACTGTGGGCTGGTGGGGACGTCCTACATGGCAGCTCTCCACAAACTCCCCCTGAGTATCAACACAGGTTAAAGTACACAACTCTCACCACCAAATACAAGGCCAAAAGCTTAGTGTTTGAATTCACCTGCTGCAGATACAGATCTACTGTGCCCCCAGTGGTGGAGCTGCTGGAGGCCACCGCCAGTACGGGAAGAGCTGAGTGCCAGTTTACTTGGGAAGGAAGCCCATTGCTGTCAGGAGCCTCAATACGGTGGTCAAAATACACCGCCATGTCCCCACTGTTCCACTCTGAAATAGAAAGAGGTTGTTTTTTTTAAATCTACAGTATAATTCTTTTTTTTTATTTGCCATTTCAACTTTGCCATTTCACAATCATTATTCTCTGATTGTTCTCCACATACTTCAGTGAGTGGAGGACTTTTCTTAAATTTAGTTTATTTGTCATTCATTACTGTTTTGGCAGTTATTCTAGGCTCTTTAGACAAATCAACAATTTTAGAACTTTTGCCTTTTACCTCTGTGATTTATATGCCATGTGTGTTAAAACATTTTATACTAGACGATATTTACTGTTTTATTTATTTTTTCACTATTTTGCTTTTCTTTATATCAAGGAATTGTCCCTAATGGAGAATCCCATATCCAAGTGAAATTTAAAGAGTTAGAGCATCACTATAGTGAAACACATCAGGGTTCTGCGCCAAGGCTCCATAAATAAATCAATTCGTACAAATTTCTAGCCTCTGCATTTTTTTTTAGAAAAAGCTTTTTTTTTGGTCAGTGTTTAAACAACACATAGTTTCTTAATTAAGTAAGTGTGTTGTAAAAAGGACTAAGGCCATCACTTAAGATATATTTGTGGGGTTATTACTTAAGCTTATGTGTGATTTTCATCAATTTCTAGTAGCGTTTACCATTTAGCTTTTTAATGCACAGTAAATAGTTATGTCAACACAACTGTTACATATTAAAATGAATAGGGAGCTAACAATTTACATAAAGTGAATGGTTAGCTCCCCAAGCGAGTACACCTAACATTTAAGCTGTTTTGCTGATTACGGGACAGCTGGTTAGCTTTGGCTGCTAAAGCTAAGTGAGCTAACCAAAGTTAGCATGCACTGTCAAGCCCCACTGCCATAAAATGGGTAAAAACACATCGCATTCTGTCATTTCAAACTCACCTCGCCTGTACTTTTCTCTGTTCAATATTTACTGGCTTATTAAAAATAAAAACAGTTAAAACACCGAGTGAAACTCGTTTGTGAGTAGCCTCCACTGCTAACATCAAGCGTCTCTTCTAGTTGCCCCTGACAACCTCAGTGGGTCCTGTCAAGGGGAGGAGTGACGGAAAATAACGAGTGCTCTTCGAGTTTTACCGAAATTGGGGTTGCCAGATTCAATAAGGTTAAACATTTCCCAGTGTTTTTATACAAGAAAAGCTAATACCATGTACCAAATAAATATATTGAATTTTAATGATTGTGATTTAGTCTACAAAACTTATCAGCTTTAGTCAGGTATGAGTTAGATAATATTCAGGGAATTTTAGAAAAAGTTAATTCAGACAACGTCATCATAGATTTACAGAGGGAAAAAAACATCAGAGAGGCTACAGGCTGAACAGCTAAAAAGTACTTGATGACATACAGTATGCCAATGATGCTAACTAAAAAGCTAATTTTCACACCCCAATCATGGATTATTACATTAAATTACCTGTAAAATAAAGTTACGATGGACATTTATTAAAAAAAAAAAAAAAAGTAATTGTCCTTCATCTTCACTTTAAGGCATAACATAATGTCAAGGCCCTTAAACAAAATTTCTCCTACAAAATAATTCTGCTTTAAAATGTTTCATTTTCTGGAAACATGGTGTGTGTCACCTGAGGAAGTAGCACTGTAGTATAAATACTTGCATGCACGTGGAAATTCACAGGATGTCCTTTCCAAAGCCAACTGCCAGAGCACAGAGAGTTGTCTTTAACACAGGAAAGAGTCCGAAATGGATTTCCTCATGATTCACTCCTTTATTAGTCTACAGAAATAGAAATAAGTTTCCACTGAAATTTTAATCTGGTACTTTTTTTTCATTTATGTATAAACAATACGAAGAACATTTCCAGCAGACTATCTTTTCCCGAATGTAGGTCTAGGTTTTGTGCAGCTGGGGCGAGCAGCTCTGCAGTCTGAAGGATCTCCTCGTATGTGACATCATTGCCAGTCCAGTTCTTCTTCTTTACATAAAATTCCAATTTTTGCCCCACCATCATTCAGGGTTATTGCAAAATTGGAAGCAAAAAAAGAGAAATTGTTCCTTATGTTTTGATCAGGATTTCAGACTAAGTGCTTGTGGATCCTCTAACTGTTTCTTCAGATTCTTATCCAGCAAAACCAGACTCTGTACAGCCAGGCTGCGACAGTCAGAGTCAGGGTCTCCTTCAGCCACATCTGTGAAACAAAAACAATACGAAGACACAGTTGTAGTCGTGGTTTCAAAAGCCTTGACATTAGGCACTGAAATCCTGCACTTCATGATTCCAAATTCTGGCATTTCCTGAGCACAATCACCCATCGTGTTTATCCGTAGCTGCGACATTTTAGTGTCAGAGCGTAACTGATGTTATTTGCCGGACAGGAAATCATGGTTCCTTACCTTCTTCCCTAATATGTTTGGTCCAGCTGCAAATGTACGTGCTGTGGATATGACTAATTCAGGGAACATCCTGACACAGTGTCACCTGCAGGTGTGAGTCCATTTACAGGAATCTACTCTTTTCTCATCATTAGTAAAATATACTGCTCCTTAACTTTACTCACGAATCAATCCTGAAATAAACGATTATGAAAGTAAGCCAACCACTGCGTTCATGAAGGAGAGCACAGATTCTACATCACCCTAAGCCACAACAGTTTGTTTTTTACCTGCCAACCAGGACCTGGCCTCAAACAGCTGATCACTGAGCTCTAACAGCAGGTTCTGACTGGGCATGCTCAGGAACACAGAGCACACGGAGAAGAGGACGCCTCGTCTCACCATCCTGTAAAAGAGACAAATATAAGGGTAACTTGACAATCGAGTCTGAGAATTAATCGGTACACATGCACACATATGTGCGTATAGTATTTACTGTATATTTATATATGTAAATATATACATACATTATTAAAAAATAATCATATGGAATATATGATGAAATATATTGTATTTTATAGATTTATGAAATATATTGAATAACACAAATTCATGAACATTGTTCCTGTTTTGGTGATTCTTTCTGACTGCAACAGAGGTTCGCTTACTTTATCAGTCAGTTAAGGATACTCACTGGTCAGTATGGTAGCGCACTGCCCACACAAAATCAAGTAAAGCACGGCCCATCTGTGCAGCCACCTGAATATTAAAAAAATAGCAAAATTGAACTCAATGTTCAATTTTATATTGAATTTTATAAGGTCAGTTTATAAGGTCAGTTAATCATTTTTAGAATGTTAAAAATTACAAGCTCATACCGGAGCATTGACTGCCAAATGCATGAAGAGGCCCAGGGTATGAATTAATCTTCCCAGAACCAAGTGGTCTCCACCCAGGAGGTCAAATGTTGCTTGAGGCCTAGAACAAAAAAGTTAATTTAACATTAAAAACAGTAAAAAAATACAAAACACTGTTGCTGTTGCTTTAGGTTTGCAGAAAACAACACACCGGTCATAATTCTTGAGCAGTGGAAAAAAGAAGTGTCCTGCAACTGGAGCATATCTGTTAGGAGTGGCCTTGGTTGGAGGCATCGCTGGGCCCTGCAAGTATTGAGATTATTATGTAAAATTAAATAATGTTTATAAGCAAAATAACAGATAAAAATATTTAGAAAATTCTCATACCTTACTGAAGTGTTTAGTTTTGCTTTGAATCCGTTTCTCAACAACCTGTCGCCAGTTGACAGCGTTGTCACCAGGATATGGAGTCAAATCTGTGTTAGCAGGGCTTATGGACAGATGTCGCTTTTCAGTGATTGGCTGAGAAAGCTCCTGAGCTGCCAGAGCCAGAACCTAAGAAGTCAGCACAGAGACACACTTATTTAAATGAAAAGATAAAAAATCTAATTTGTCATTTGATTTATTTGGTGTTGGTCTAAAGGTCTTTACCTCCAAAATGTCCAGTCGCTGGCGAAGGCTGTAATTTAAAGAGTAGAACTCTGAAGTCAAATACTGAGTCACCTACCAAGGAGCAAATAGACAATATGAGGTAAACAAAATGGGAATAAAAGTGCATTTCACACATTTCCTGGTAAACAGCGCTGAGGTAAGGTGAAAGGTCATACAGGAAGACAATCAGTGACAATGAGAGCCACCAACGATCTCTGTCTCAGAGCCAGGAAGTCCCTGGTGTTGTATTTGTCCTCCATGTGAAGAAGCACCTTGGTAAACTGAACACTGATCTAAAAAAACAAAAAGAAAACACAAATATAAACGTTGGATTATCAATAAAAAAACTCAAGAATATTGTCTCAAACTGCTCTATCGGCTGAAACCAGGTCGTCGTACCTCTCTGGTGGCAAAGGCGTTTTTCCTGAGCAGACTCTCAGCCACTTTCAAACTCAGCTCCACACGCTCCGTGTCCTCAGACGAGGTCAAAGCTGGAGAAGAGAAGAAGTTCAAAAACACTACATTTTTACCAGTTTAAAGATCAGTTTAAATTAAAGAGATAAGATTTAAGAAGTCCTACTTTCCAGACAGTCTCGCAGGTAGCGAGGTGGCGATGCTTGAGTCATCTCCACATCTCCTGACATATCATAGGGTGTCAGCTCATCGTCACTGGATCAACAACATCATCAAAGTCAAAGACACCAAAGAAATATATCATCAAGTATAACTTAACTAGTATTGATCCTACCTGTCCAGGTCAGAATCAGGATCAGTTTGTGATGACCGAGGTTCTGGATTATTTTGAGGTAATTCTTCAGTTTCTTCATCATCAACAACTCTGCAAAGATCAGATTTAATCAATCAATGTCTACGTGCTTTGCATTGCATTTTGTCCACACATCTCATGATAATGATATAAATGAGATATAAACTGAGATTAAACACCAACCTGTTCATAGTCTCAGACTGTGTTTGTTCACTTGAGTCTGCAGGATTCATGAGAGACAGCAGTTCTTCTGTGAGCTCATCGTGATCATACTGCAAATCAACACAAAAGTCGACACCTTTGTTATAACTGCATTTCCATTGTGTACATTGGCGAGCAGCTGTTTTTATATTGCCACTACTGCCTCACATTCGGGACGAATGAACAACAATAATTTACCTCCCGACCCCAAAAAAAACCCCTTACCTCAAATTTGAGTTTGGTTCCGTTGATATTCATGCGAGCGCTCACGCACTCTCCCACCACCATACCCACACGCCTGATGTTCACAACATTACTGTCCAGGTGACTCTGCATGCCTCCCAGCATACACTGGAGCAACTCTGGGGAAAGAAAGAAGAACACAGCATTTTGAAGCAGTGCGAAGTAGAGAAGAAAGAGTTGTAGTCCTGGTATCATTTTTTTAGTGATACTGATGCTCTATCAAGATTTTCAGAATCATACCTGATCGCAACTCCTGTAACTCTGAGTCTGTCAGCAGGCTCACTGTCAGCAACAAGGCCTTGCTGACATACAGCTGCTGCTCCAGAGGTGTGTGCTTCACTGCACTGGGGTTAGCCCAGGCCTGTGACACAGACCGTAGCACCTAGGAAAACACACAGAAAGGTGTCAGATCAACAAAACTTAAACTTAAAATGACCAGATATTTGGCCAGATCAAAAAAATGACCTGCAAGAGCAACGGCCTCCGATCTCTGTCCGCTGCCAGGTGACCCAAAATAGTTCTTAAAACCTGAGTCTGGAGGACAAAAAAAGACAGTCCTCGATTGACATCATATTTAGAAACAAGACTTAACTTCTTGTCATGGTGAAAGTGATTTTCTACCTCATATTTGTACTGTAGTAGTAGCAGTTTATGAGTAATGATGAATTGGGCCTTTCTATTTGTTAACACTAAATTTCCAATAATTCGTCCCAAAGATTCAGGCCTGAAAAATGACACAGGAAGCTTGGGTCATTATACGCAATGAAACCAACAAAACATGCTCTCAGTCAGTTATGGGCTTCATCATCACCGGTCATACCCATTGACTGCCTGCACCAATCCAGTGAACACACTCTCAATCCAACGCTGGGGAACATTCTCTAGCAGCTTCCAGCAAACTCTCTGCCAGATCATGTCTGAGCGAGTAGAGGCGGACAAACGAGGAGCCATAACTGCCAGGACCACAGCTGTCAAGACACAAAACAAATGTTTTGACAAAAGTTTCTGCTTGATACATTCAAACAAATTAACAATCACATGGGGCTTCTGAAAACTTAAATATTACATATTAGAGTATTCAATCTTATCTTGGAAACAAAATACCCTAAACTTATTTTCCTATGGCAAAATATTATTATTTTTTTAACCACATAAAACATAATAAACTTACTACTCTGTCCTTGGACACACACTTTTCCTAGTGTCTGAGCCACAAATGTTAAGGAGCAGTCTGTTCCATCTGTTAATACATGATAAAAAAAATGTCAAAGTATGTTTAATTCAATTTCTTATTTCATTGCTGCACATGTGTCCTTACCTTTGAGAGCCTGGCAGGTCTTCTCCAGGGCAGTGAGCATCTCCTCGGCAAGTAACATGTAGTACTGCTGGGGGAGAAATAAGGGCCTGCTGTTGGGATGTAATCTGTTGGCAGTGATGTCTGGCAGTGACACTATGCGCCCCAATAAAGTCTCTCTGAGCTGGTGGGAGTCGGACGGCGTCGTGTCAAGACAACGAGACCACAGCAACTCAGCAAGACCACCACGCTGTAGGAACCTTTCCAAAATGCTGGTCAAGTGGTCCAAACTGGTGCTGGGTCTATAAACGACAAAATAAGTAAATCAACTGACAAAATAACCTTGGCTTTAGTCTTTTAGTCAGACTTACTTTAGTGCACAAATTCCTTCCATCAGCCCTAGCAGAGTCTGCTCCGGAGGACCATGTAGAAAAAGACCGTCCCATACTTCTGTTTTCTGGGATGCTATGAACCTTTGCAGCCAGTCCGCCTGGATTTGACTGATCAGGAGCTGAAGGGTTCGTGTATAGTGAGCTCTCTTGAACTCTGACTGATGAGAAGAACTGGTTGTGTTCTCCGTTCCATCATTCAAGTAAGAGTGTAGTGTGTGTAGAGCAGCAGTCACGTCATTGTCGTCTGTGGATGAAGTGATTGTTCGGAAACACTGAGCCACAACTAGACGGACTTCAGCACTGTCAGTGCTCGTTTCCATTTTGAAAACAGAACTGCAAATACTTTTAATTTCCAATTAACAAACTAAAATTACACAATGAATTCATGTTTCCTTCCCTAGTATTCAATGGGATAGACATATGCACAAGAAAATATTGGAAACATAAAACGTCCCGACTATAAAAGGTTTAAAATATAAAAGCGCCACAAAATATACAACTATCAACGGAAGATATTCCCTTTTGGCAGCTCATGATGTTAAATACGTTATTTCTACCGCGGATTTGTCGCATGTCGCCTGGCTTCACGTCCTTCGTCAAAATACGTCCTAAGTGAAAACGGAATTGGTGCAAAGGTTCCGGGAGAATGTTTCCGTTGCGCCATCAGAAAAAAACAAAAATCAAAGACACACACTTTTAATGCTGAAAGGGATCTGGGTAAATACATTTTCAAATAAAACACGTTTTAAGTTGGATTTATTAGTATTTGTTTACGTTAACGTTTTACATAGATTTGGATCTTGACGTCTTCATTGTTCTAATAGGTCCGTGTTGGATCAACAATGTTTACTGACCCCAAATATTAATATATATATATTATATATATAGATAATAGAGATAATTGTTTTCTCCTGTATGCAGTATATAATTATATTAACAACTGCATTTTCATCGGATCCATTAAAAAGCATACTTTTAAAGTGTGTCCGGCTTCAAAATACGTCCAGTTTGTTGTAATTGATTTAATGGTCTGGTGGACATCGTTCAGTTTGGTCAAAAAATACAAATTCTATTATTTTATTATAAAAACAAAATTTAAGTTGAGGAGCCTTTTTATTTTATCGAGATGCATACTTTTTATCGTCTGGAACTGAATTTACTACTATACCACTAGGTGTCGCTAAATCCCACCGTGAATTTTACGTTTTGAACTAGAACACAAACAGCTGCAAAGAAACTGTAAAATAAAAACAAGACACAATTTTTCATATATTTTTTATTAGTCTTACTTTCACTGCTTACCTTTAAATTTCTCTTTTTACACCGAGTGAAATTCTATTCCCCAATAACAATTATGATTAGATCATGTGGGGAAGTTCAAAAATAATATACAGCTGTAACCAATAGTATTATAATTTATATATTTATCTTTGAAAATAAGAATTAATTTACCTTTTTATATTTCTCTTTACAGTATTCTCCTTTAACCATCCTGCATCACTCAATAGCCAACTGTACACCACTTATGTGGTACTGATTATGCCTCAAGCAAACGTGTCTTTGGACACTGGGAGTGACCTTAAGAGAGAAAGAAAAGAGTTCACAAAAATGACCGTTTGACATATTTACAGTTCAGGCTCCATTGTTATAGTTCAACAAACTGACGGTCCCATGGTCAGTGCTTTTATTTTCTACCTGGGGTAATCAACAAGTGTGTGAGGCAAAGTTTGAGACACAGAGGCACAGTGTTTGGACTAGCAGGTAAGTTTCTCCTTTTCCCCGTGATGAAAACATTGAGAGTGTCAATTTGTGATTTGTTAGAATAAAAAGGTGTTTTCAGAAATATTATAATGAGTGTCGATTCTTTGGTCAGTTTGAAAAAGTGGTGATAAAGTGGAGAAACTGGATCCGTCTAAAGTGCAGTCACACTTTCAGCTCTGCTAAAAGGGAATGTTTGATCAGCTCTGTGTTCTCTCTCTCTTGCCAGTTGTATGTTTTACTGAACTAAGTTCTCATGTTTTACTGTCTGAAAAAAGAGTTTGAAAAAAAGTTTATCACCTAAAGTTACAGTTTTAGTGAGAGTCAGGAATAGGAACTCAGCAAACCTGGACATGAGGTTTTCTGTGTTGACCAGTTTTTGTCAGGTATTACAGGATATGATTCGTCAGTCAAAAAAAAAGGTCAAAAAAATGAAATTTGAGAAATACAATAGCTATCGATTACCATGCAGTACCTGAATCCCAGGAAGACAACAGTAGAATCTGCAGACTCCTCTTCCATTTACTGTACCTAACGTCAAAGACGCATTTTCAGCTCTATGGAAGAGAGCATGACCTCACAACAACCTTTCTGGGCAGGTCACGTGTTCAAGCTCAGCCCAAGGACAAAACAAACTTCATATTAAACATTTTCACTTTCAGTATAATCTCTCTCTGTCAATGTCATCTCCCTTTGTGAACTCCAAATGTACAAATACACCCTCATCAGAACAAATCACAGCGTGTGACTTTGTGTCTGTGTTCAGTGATGAATAAATTACTGTGTTAAACAGGAAAACAGAAACAGATACTGTACACGCTACATGCTAAAGAATACAAGCAGCCGTCTCCCAGCGTAAGACAAGAAAAAAGCAAATATTTCATTTCTCTCCCATCTATAAAAATACCTAGAATCTAGAATGAGTGTAGAAAAAACTTTACAAGTACATTTACATCCAAGGCCATTATTCCACACAGCGGCAGGTAGAGAAGTGGGAGATATCAGTTTCAAGGTGAAGTGGGTGAAAAATAGGATTTCCATTTAGTGTATCGGTGCAAATGCCATGCCATTTAGACAAGAATTAATTTCCCATTCCTTCAGATGTGAATCCTTCAATCCAGCCTGTGATCCACTTGGTTAACTTAATATCTGTGTCCAGTTTCAGAGTCAGAGAAAGAACTGGGTTCTCACAACCGCAAAGATCAGCTTTAGGTGAGAAATCCGTTTTTGAAAACACAGTTGTTGCTCGAGAAGAATGATTGAAGAGCAGGTTTGTTCAACCTACTTCCCACCAGTGTCCACTATCCTGTCAAGCACTATTATTGCTCAAGTCTACTTCTCCCTTCAATGTTTCACACTTCAAGTGCAGGACAAATTGAAACTGGCCAGTAATCTGGAAAATGTCACTCGTAGACAACATTCGTAGACAATTTCCTCCCATTTGTCCATGAGACGATGAAGTAACAGTTCCATCATCTTGATACAGGCCTTATATTATATTCCATTTCACAATTTGATCCCTTCACAAATAGCAGGTTTTTCAATGATAACACAGAAATCAAACAAAACCAAAACTTAGTGCAAACTATTTGATTCTTCACTTCACAACCTCCTGAATGTCGTCAGTATTATTCAGTCACAATTTCATTTTTAGTGACGATAAATCACTTGTGCAGCAAAAGAGCTATAACAAAAAAAAAAACAAAAAAGACAAATAACCTGGTAACCTGAATCAGTTTGCTCTCCATAACTTTCACTCAGCAAGAGAACACTGGGGTCAGGTGGGCTGAGGTATGAAAAAAACTTCACACATCACTCGATTTCACTCAAAGTAGAAACTTGGCAATAATTTCTATTAGGAGTGTATGCTGAAATGTAGACCCTTGGTCAAACACAACCTTTACCACCAACAGTTTTGGCATTATAGGATAGATGTCTTAAAGTTGCCTTTTTAAAATGCTGACATTTTCAATACAAGTGCTACGAATCATAAAAGATTAATGGGCTCTTGTAAAGTACTCACTGATGTTGTATTACATTTGCGATAATATTGTGAGCCCACTAGGTGGTGAGTGCACAATCTGCCTACTCCAATAGGTTTATTAGACTGTGTTCGCACACCACTAGGAATAGCAAAAAAACTCAGTCTTAGATCTTCCTCCTAACAAAACCTGTTCAACTATAATGGACTCTGTTTCCAAATACAAATGTGGGTAATGTTTTTGTTGGTTTCATGCAGTCACTTCACATTGAAGTGCCGAATAGACCAAGTGAAGTAAAAGCCAATAACCGCTCATTTTCATCTTCCAGCCCACCTAAGCTCCAGGACCCCCGTTTCATTGTAAAAATAAAAGAGATGACGCAAATTTAAGAGGAATAAAAAAGCACAACATACTCCTTCATTTAGGAGTCTGTGCCTTTCTTGTTTCATTTTGTAGTGTCATTAAGCTTTTTTTAAAAAAAACCTGTTACACACAAAAACAAACACACACACACACACACTTTATACCCTTCGGGCATTTCTCTACCCAGAGAAATGTCCCTCACCTGGGTTCACTGGAAAGACAGTTGACCTTGAAAGGACAGGACACAGTGTTTGGGTGCATGTCAGGCAGCACTGCAAGCTTTTAACTTATTAAAGACAAAATATTTTCATCTCCTGACCAGAGCTTCATATGGTTTTATCACTGAGGATGAAACACAACTCAGCCTGTATCAAAAGACAGCAGCTCAGTGACTTAACTGAGTCACGTCTGGAATCATAACCTCAACTTTTGATAACCTTTCTTTAAGGGACTTCAGGTATAACCGTCACTAATTGTTTGAAAGGGGTTGGCGCCACTGTCTTCTCTGAACCACACTGAATTTTTGTTCACATTTATGCATTCACTCACGCAGCAGGGGAAACCCAGGTCCCTCTAACCAAATACATGGACGTCACTAGAACCCAAGTGTTTCACAAGTACAGATTTGAGCAAATCTGACTGAAAAAAAAAAAAATCTGTTCTACCCTCATCAACGTAGTCCTAAAAGTGTCAAATTCTTGGAACTCTTTGTTTTGTTTGTGGAACATTTTGTTATTGTTTTTTTTAATGTTTTTACATCCTCTGTAGGTAGGTTTGCAAGTATTTGTCTCCAGCAGGTGGCAGCACTCTCCCTCTTGTGGTTTCTATTTGACCTCGAGGATGGAGGGGTTTGACTCCATGATGGCCACGATGATTTTGTCAATGTAGTCCTGGAGTCTGTAGTTGATCTCCTCCTGTTTGTGGATGGCCTCCATCAGCTGGAGACAGAGGAGCAGAAGTGAGTGAAACAGAAACAAAGCTGTAAATATTATTAACCTTTTTCCTCGTTTTCATTAACCAACCTCTGAACGAGACACAGAGTTGATCTCAGCAGCCAGAGAGTCGGAGAAAGACGCCGACATCAGATTCTTGGCTCCCTGGATGCTTAGGTTGATGATCTGACCGTTCAACTCGTCATTCTGTTCTTTCAGACTGCGGTTGTCCTGGAGAGGTCAAGAAAAATGTCAAAATCCACAAAGGTATCACTCTTTTGTCACAGCTATCACCTGAAGAGAGTGACAGCTTGGTAATGTACTGCAGTATTAATGTGTATTCATGTTTTTTAAAGATATTTAAAAAAAACTGCAAAAAACTGGGATACCTGTTTGAGCCGTTTGATTTCTTGCTCCAGTTCAGCTTCTCTGGTCCGGGTCTGATACTCCTGCAGACCTGCACCAGGTGATCGACCTTTCTTTGACTCTGCCTCTAACTTGTAAAGCTGAAGATGCTCAAGCTGTTTACGTAAATCTTCAATTAGCTGTTTTGGAACCAACGAAGATGCATTAGCAAACAAAAACACATTTTAAAAATGAAAGCTATTTGATACACTAACATCATGTACAGTAACATTTCACTTTACCTCCTGTGTGCATTCTTTCTCCTTCTGGTTCTGGTGGCGTTCATGGCTCAGCTTGTCGCCCATCTTCCTGCGCATCTCTGTTTCGTCGTTTAGCCGGTCAGACACAACTTCAAATTCATCTTGAACCTTTCTCTTTTCCTGGAATATGGATTGAAATAGAAATAAAGCAATGTCAAAGAGTTGGCAGAAGAAGGGGAAACTGGAGCAGGCGAAGAGTTATAGCTGTTCTCACCTCTTCTAGTCTTTCAATGTTTGCTCGTAGACAAGGAACACAGGATCGTAGTTCGCTGTTTTCTTCATCGAGCTGCTGCAGCCTGAGAAAGAAAAACAGATTTTATAATAGGTTAATAAAAACAACTGCTCAAACAGATAAATGTTGCCAATGTTTTATCTATAAAATCAAAAAAGTAACAATCTCCTGGCAGTGAAATGCCAGAGGGTGGCAGTAGTGAGGCCCCGTCATACAAATAAATATGAATACTAACTATACAGGGTTTTTTGAGTTAAATATTATAGTATGTTGTATGCATAATGTATGCTTTGTATAATGATTATAACAGCAAGTTTCCTTTAACTACAGTAACTGATTTACATCACTGTCCACACACTAACCTGCCCTGCAGGTTCTCCAGCTCCAGCCCTCTCTCCCTCTCCAGTTTGCTCATGGCCTCCTTGTTTCGCCGTGCCTCCTGCTGTAGTGTCTCGTCTGCATGGAGTTCCTGCTCCTTTAGCTGCTCCTCCAGGGCATTGGCCCTGTGGACCAGCTGGAGGTTCTCCTGACGAAGCCTTGCGTGCTGCTCCCCCGAAGCCTCCGACTCCTTTTCCAGCTCCGCCACTCGTCTCTCAAGGAGGAGAACCTGGGGATAATACATGTTATTTATTTAGTTTATTTTTAGGTTTTGTTGTAGCAATTAAAAAACTGCAGAAACTGAGTTACAAGGAAAGATTGGTTTTTTGTTTGTCACCTTGTCTGTGATGTCATTGTCTGCATGTTCTAAAATGTCCCGCGTTAGGTCACTCATGGTGTCCAGAGTCATGGAGCTGTTCTGGAGGAGATGTCTGCGAGAAGGAAATCAAACTAATTTAGGACAATGGTCACACTCCTGTGTGTTATTAATCATCATCAGAGAAACTATTTGTTTTACCTCGCAACTTTCTTGCTGGACAGTCTCTTACCAGCACTGGAGGGAGGGAGAGAACAACAGGAAAGATGATCAGGAAGTGAGAAAGGAGAGAGGAAAGAGGGCAGGGTGCTTTCAGAAACACTCCGACCCTCTGAGTTTAGAGTTTAGTGATCTGGGCTTGGAAATATTCACACATCAAAGCAATGGCAAACAAACAAGAGTATTTATATGATAAAATGTATTTGCATTATTCTGATCTGGGATCATAGTTTTCTCAATGGACCTTCAACAGACTGCATCATGAGAAACTGAAGACGTGGGGGTTTTGTTGTTGTTTAGTCAAAGGTTTGACAAATACAAAATTCTTTAATTGGAGATTTAAGTGGATTTAATGGTTAATATTTTTCACGATGGTGTCACTGGTCCCAGATCATTAAATGACTTTTACTGAAAAAAAAAATGCACTCAGCAACTGCTTATTCTACAAGTTGGCAACACAACTTAAATGAAGCATGACGTTAATGACATGAAAAAAAACGGCACCAAAGCCAACATAACTCACCTGTTATTTTTTTAATGTAAATATTTAAACGTTTTTGGTAAATAAATAAATATTTCAACAGGGTCACATTTAATAAGACTACTTTCGGATGCTTTAATATCAGTGAAGGACTGTTCAGTAACTGCTACATTGTTACACTGCAAACACGCACAAAAACCAAGATCCTAACAATATGACTTCACATCACTGCAAGAAATGACAAACCCAGGAAATGTGTTAATGTCGACATGTAAAGTCTCTGCTTGTATTCCAATCCAGGGTCTGCAGCGTTCGTTACTCAAGTCATTAAATTTTTTTTTTTAACAGCTCTACTAGAACAGCTAACACTGTTGAAATGTATTGGCTCGATGACAGTCGAATGGTTTTAGTCCACGTAACTGCAATTCAAGTTTTTCCTGGGCCAGTGAAGGCATCACTGGATCTGGTTTCAAATTAAAAAATGTAGTAACTTGACGTCAACTTGAAATTGAAGTGGTGACTGTACGTGGCCTGTAAGCCAGTGGTTTGATACCTCTGATCTGGACTATTTAAAAGACCAAGTAAATGGTAGACCACATAAGATGCAGACCCCAGACTGGGAAACTTGTATATAAGAGGCCTGTAGTTACTGGTCCCACACATCGTAAACACATCATGACAACATGCCAATGCAGCACTGCAAACACATTCACTCAGCCGATGGCTCTAAACAACTCGGCGTTTAAACAACGTGTTACCTAGTCATCTCTAGGAAATTGAGGCGAGTGGACAGGTCCTCGAGACGACTTATTTGTTTGTGACACTGGCTACAGAAAAAGTCCAGCGCCTCCTCCCTGAGGAAGCTCTGAAAGCAGTCAGGGAGAGGAGCAGGTGCACTGGAAAAAAAGGAAACAAGGAAGAAAAAGAAGAGGAGGAAGAGGTGAGTGCTGGAGGAGAAAGGTGAAGGTAAAGGGGTGAGTCCACTGGTTTGGGGAAAAACACCTTTTACATTCCAGTTCAGACCTGGTATTAACCTAAAAGGACATGAGGACGAGTAACCAGGAACAAGACTGGTATTAAATGTGTCTCCACAATAATGGGTAACTAATGTTGATAAGATTTACAGAACATTTACCATCCATATTGTTTCTTTTAAGAAGAGGAGTGACGTGATTTCCATATGGCTGAGGGACTAAAAACAGAAAGAACTGAGGTGATTGTAAAGTACATTGTATAAAAATTTTTTATTTGTATTATTTTTTTACATTTAATTTATTTCAGCCAGGGCAGATAATGTCATTTATTACTATGGCAAAATAAACTCAATTTTGTTTGAAATTCTTTTTTTTACTCTTAAATTGGGTTTGACTGACACAAATGAAAGTAAAAAAAAAAACTAGATGGTGCTATATCGGTGCACACTGGTTCAGAAAGCAAAACTACCTTCTATCCAATTTAACATTTTCCTGATGCTCTTACAAGGTTCAAGACTTGATGATGTCAATTTTGTCAATTATGATACAGACAAACTGACAGTAAAGTCTGACAAGACCATCCAAAAGGAGCAGGTGACAACATACAGTATGTGTTTGCTGACTTCACGCCCAGTAAGAAAAGTAGTTCTGTTTGTCATAAATTCAATTAAAAACAACAGTAACAATGAAGCATTACAGACATTTATCTGGACGATTACAACGTCTATTTACTATCAGCAGTCGACGTATAATGTCAACTCCATTTTCAATGTGTCTCGGCTACATTCGCATTTCAGTTTAGACCTTGACCTATTACCTGACACTGTGTTCATACCAGGTCTGAGCAGAGACTGTGGTGGACAGGAAGTTAGTAAAATAATTCCAGAGTAGACTTTGAAAGAATAACAGCGTGAACGTTCTTGTGGGGAACAAACATGCAGAATGTGCAGTGTGGTAGCAAAGAGTTTTTAGGATAGTGGAGGAAAACAAAACATTCTAGAAGGAACATGTTGATCGCTCTCTCTGTCGGGGTGATTAGATTTCTTCCCCTGCTGCAAAACAATGTTTTGTATTCACAAAACCCAAGCACAGAAGTACAATGATGCAAATATATATATATATATATATATACAGTATATATTACTTTTTTATTGAAAACACTGAAATATAAAACTCAGCTGAAAAATGTAATGAGGAAGTGATCCAGGAGTTATGCAACACATGGTCAGGGGTTCTTGTTAACGTCGGCAGACAGGGTAGACTCTGAGTGAGTGTCACTTGATGGTCATATGCACACTGAGCTTTTCAAGAGCTTTTTATACCATCGTGTTAAAAAAACATGTTTACTTTTGCATTTAAAGTCCTGTTGTATGTTGAGAGACAAATGAGTGTGTGTGTGCGTGTGTGTGGGCAGCGCTGCTTCAGGCGCCAACAATGGCTGAAAACACTGTGACGCATTCGCACAGAGTGGGTGAAGGTTGTAGGATGAGGCTGTTTTTGGACAAGATTTCTCCCTAACTTCTGCTCATGGCCGATGGACACAACATAACTTTTCACTTTACATAATAATTTTATATAAAGTTATCTCAACATAAGGTTACTTTGTGGTTTCCAGAGTGGGCGGCAATGAAAAAACCATTGTGGGAACCACTGACTTAAGCAAATAGAGAATAGATTTGATTTGTTTTACAGTGGGGAAAGTACACCGACCTGAACTTTTATTTCCAATGTTCAATGAGAACAGGTTTTACATAAAGTGAAATTTTGAGGAAAATATCTTTGAATTTGTTGTATGTATGTATAATTGTGTGTGTGCGGGGGTTTAACAATAATCCTAACTACAAAAGTGTGCTACAATCATGGGTCAAAGTTTGGGCAATAAACTGGTTTCATTGGTTCATCACTGTTTTGCTCCTCTATCTAAGAAATATAGGTTAATATTTGAATAAATGTTTACTGTGGTTTATTTTATTTTGTGTTTGACTGAAATACATATTCAATTTCACACTTTGCACTTGTGCTGTATATAGTTGTAACTATGATTATATCATATTCCTTATATGCAGTAAATAATTTTTAAAAAATCATCCAACTAGGAATTACAAATGAAGAAGCAGGATGTCTCTAATGCAGCAGCAGCTGTGGTGAGGCCTCCTCACTGATGGTCTGTGTCTTTAAAATAGTTTGGCAGTGTTTTGGTGTCGGACAGGCAGATTGTATCATTACTGTAATAACCGTAAACCCAGAGCAAAGTGTCTCCCCTGAGAATGTTTTCTACCTTCAAGGCCAGAGTGATTATATCATATTCATGGGTTATACTTCTGGTTATATAATAATTGAGAAAAGATGACAGCAGTAAAAGTTGCTCTGAGTTTAGAGGTGACCTGTGTATGGAGTTGGACTCTGCAGTGTCTACATGGAGTTTTTGATATTTTGAAAAGCAACAGATTAGGAAGTACGCAGAGTAAATGTTATCACGTTACTCATTTTTTCCTACACAAAAATGTAAAAAAAAAAAACAAAAAAAAAAAACGGCCACTTTAACAGTTGTGTTATCAGGTCAACAGTGACGAGATGACCAAAGGCTTGAGCTTTTGTATTCACTCCATTCACTGGGGGAAACGGCAGACAGAGGTTTGGAAGGACAGAACGCTCTTATCATTACTCAACCTTGATGTCACTGTTCCAGGAGAAACGTTTTCTCTGGATAACGCAGGAGACATGAGACATTTACAGCCTGTCACATGTAACTTTCACACCCTTATCAGGACAGCAGACTTAAAAGATATGTGATCTGTTGCAACTGTTATAATTGTGTTGATATGACAACAATCTTGTAGGAAGAAGCAGATCTTTTCTGGAATATGGAGGGACACATCAAGAAAGTTTCACTATGTTGTCACTATTTCTTTACAACAGACAAGCTCATACCTGGGCGACAGGAGTGAAGAGCCATCGACCTGCTCCAGCGGCTGAGCGAGTGGGGCCTCCCCCTCCCCCTCTGTGCCGTCCACAGTGCTCTCTAGCAGCAACTCTGAGGTATTACTTTCTCCAAAGTCTTCAAAGTGCTCCTCCTCTCCACCAATGACTGTCACCAGGGAGTGATTGTGGAGCTCCGAGTTCAGGGAAAACCTGAGACACACAAGGCAGAGACACAGTGATGACTGTTTGTTCACTTGTTTACATGACACATGTGGATACTTAAGGTGGAGTTTGCAAGAATGTTTTAGCTGATGCAGCCGTCTGTCTGTATTTTCTCTTTTGTTTTGCAAGTGAATGGGCTCTGGTGGTTACATCTGATATTTTTTTTATTACCATTTCTATTATTTTAAAAAATAGAATGAAATAAAGAATAATTGCCATCATTAAATCATTATTATTTACTTTATTTCTGGTCAGTCCCCATGTCAATAAATGCAATATCCGCTCACACATTTTGTTTCCTGTTGTTGTTTATTTAATATATATATTTGATACATGTCTTGTATAAAGGAATGTCACTTACAAAATTGACGTCAAGTCCTACTAAATACCTTAAACATTGATTTTTATATACATATATTATATATACATACACATATATAAATATTAATATATATATTTAATTAATGAGTTACAGATGAAGGCCTGCGTACAAGTTGGATTGTTGACTGATTTTTGGACTGAGTTTAATTCCAAGAATTTCACTTCCAAGAACAGAAACATCTAGTGAACAAGTTCCACAGTCTCTATCCTTCAGTTAAACCGTTGAAACATAAATCCCCAAACCTGCTTTAACACAAACAGAATGTCTGGTTCAAGGAGAATCCACAACTTCAGCTGCAATAATTGGCTTCTTTTCGCCCACCCAAACTGTTGGATCTAACAATCTTCAACCTGACAGTTATGACTGAAAGGCTAGTCTTTCCTGTTAAGTGCCCAGCAGGAAACATTCCATGTCTTGAGCACACACACAGGATGAAGATGTACAACTCCATCAGCAGAAAAGTTTGCTTTCTCAGCATACAGTGACCAAGCTCATTCTCTTTGTTTACAGGATATATGGCTGCCATGTATTTCAAAACAACCCATTCATTACTACTACGGAATTACTACCAAGGACTAGAAGTCATCACATTGTTTTCTAACCAGACTGTATGTACTACAGAACAGACAATCTTGTGACCACTTACCCTTTACTCAAGCTTCTACCACAAGACCTCACGCTGAGGTCCTTCAAATTTAGGGATGGTGAGGAGCGAGAACGCATCTTTAAATGGCCCCCACTGCCCTGACGTATAAGCCGAGGAGCAGCTGGAGTCAAGACCCCAGACAACCAGAGTGGAATCCTGAAGTTGACAGTGTTCACAAACAGAAAGCAAACCACGCAATCTCCAGGAACTGTCTGTTAAACTGACGACTTTGCCCGTAAGGACTTTCTTAACTGTTCATGTGTATTCTGTGAGCCGCTCAAAAGACTAATGGCGGCACAGGCAAGGGTTGTCTGTGAGTGGACTAATGAGATTTATGGCTAAGCAACGGCTGACAGACAGTCCTGTTGACCTTCCAAGTACCAAATAAGTCTGGGCAGTCAGGGATAAAACAGAAGAGGGTGGTGGACCTTAATCCTCTTAGATTTTTAATCTGCCGTTTAATGCATATTCTCCTTCACCATACACAGCACATATGTTTTTACACTACGTCTGTGAGTTCAAGAAATACATTTAAAAATAAACTAAATACATATATTTAGTTTTTAAACTTGACCAACTTCACAGTCGTCCACTATTAACGAGGTCAATAATAAACAGTCCTTTACTTCAGACACCGTTGAAGTCCATTCCAACTGAATGACACTCGCACAAACAGAGAAAACTAGATCAGTTTCAAAGAAAGGGAAAAGGGGAGGAGGGGCAACAAAAAACAGCTAACTCAGCACTTCCGGGAATTCAAGGATAAGTCATGGAATGGGAAGCCCAAACACATTCTGGTTCAATCTGTCATCAGGCCAGAAAGACAGGTCACACAGTCAGCAGATAAGGTCAAAGTGGTCTGCACTTCCTTCCCTGAGTTTGCACTAACGCCATTTAAACAAGACAACGAGATATTTTTGTGTAACAAAGTGTGAAAAGGCCAGCAGACTGAAGTCTTTTAAATAAATGTACAAAGACTGTTCACTGTACTGGTAATGTACAATAGCAGTGTTTCAGGGTCTCTTGAACTCATGCAGTGCACATTTCAAGTAATCAGTGAATGTACTTTCCTGTTCAGTTGCACTGAAAACATCAACGGAAAAAGTCACAAGGAAACTGTGTAAAACAGTCAGGGCCAGGGCTGAGAATATGAAAAGTTGCATTTAAAAGACACTTTGTACCATAAACAAAGGTGTTTCACTACATCTGACTTATACAATGTTCTTATCCAGAAGAAATCAAAACACTGGGCCAATGGAGTTGAAACTGTCTACTGCTTCTGTCTAATCTGCCTGTCTGGTGACCCAAATAGATCCAGTGTGATCCAGTACTGGGCACGCAACTTTGTAAGCCATGTGATCTCTGGAAAAGTTAATGCAGGAATCACCAGACAAAAGAATTACAGTATATTCTCTCAGCAGTAGTAACTACCAATTAATTAACTTTGATAAAGAGACTCTGTATTTGAAATTTCTACCCACCTATTTCCTCTATCTTCAGTGTCATGCAGTGTCGCCTCGATGCCGCTGTCCGTCTCCACGTCCTCATGCATTTCTGGAGGTACGAGTGCCCCTGTGTCCTCATCAGTGAAGGTCTCACACTCACTGTATGTGCTCTCTGAGCCCAAATATGCACTGTCCGTCACCTCATTTTGCTGTAGAAACATTAAGAGCGAAATAATAAATTAATTAACTGGAAAACAGCAAAACATTCAAATACAATGGGCCTATGAAAATAAACTAATTTCATGAGAAGTAGTACGTTTTAATGGACGTCTACAAGAGAAATCCGAGGTCTCTGCTGGCCACCATCAATACTGCCATGAAAAGTCTTACATATTATAAATATCTTATTATAATCTATTATAATCTTATCTAAATAAAATCTGTCTCATATCTTTATTTCCTTGTAATGTGAGCCAGTGGAATATCAACACATGCAAAGATACCTTAGCTTTAAAAACTAATACACCAACACTAAAGGGAAATAAATTGCTCTTGAAATGATTAGTTGATTGAAAACAGAAAAGTGTCAATTAAAGGGATAATTTGTTTTCAACATTAATGTCTGACCATCTGGCTGGGATACCATCACACAAACACAGTACAACCAAACAAAGCACAAAGCATACACAGACTTCAGAGAAAATCTGCTGTGACTCAGATGTCTGTGAAATCTGTTACTTCAACATCTCCCGAGCAACAAGTTCAACTAAAATAAGCCCAAAAATACCAAACATTCAAACTGAAGCTCTCAGCAACTAAAGACTCATTATCACTTATCAAACTTTTACAGCAGCAATAAAGACAGGTGAGTCATACCATCAGAGTTGCAGGGCCCAGAGGGCTGTCCACCATATCCAGAACCATTCTCTGTGCCTGGTCTCAGTGTCAGGAAAACTGGCCAGACATGACAGCATTTCCTTACTTGTGGAGTGAGTGAATGAGTGGGGGAGTGTGTTGGAAAACTAAAAAATACTCTCCCCGCACCTCGTTCGGCTTCACTGGGTGGTCAGAGAGGTGGAGACACAAACAAAGTCCAAAGAGTAACAAGAAGTCAGCTGTACTGCTGCTCAATCAGCCACTAACCAAAGTTAAACAGCACACGATCAGCTGTGCAACGCTTTAACCTTTCCTAACATCTGGTCCGAGAGGCTTCATTAACAGACCGGGTGTTGAGATAAATCATTAAGCCAATATCTACAGTAAACAAAGTCTATGCAGTGTTACCAGACATCCAGTCATAACTGTGTGACCAGGAAACAGCAGAATATTAACACCCTGTTAATCTCTAAACCTGTCAAAGACAGAGCAAACACATGTATGAATACTAGCACAAAACCTTAGTGTTATAGCAAGCAAACTGTTTTCTCAATGCTACTAAAAATGTGAGATCAAAAATATTTATGTCAGTAAATGGTGAAAATTATTTAAGGGAAAAACATGACAAATCGGGCCTTGCTTTTCTCCATTTCCGTGCCTCAGCTCAACACCTTGCCTGTTTTGAAAGCAAACATGACTAGAACAGCACAGCCTTTGACTGAGAGGAAACCCCTTTCTGCCAGTAACTCGAGGGAAAAACAACGCAATGGACACAGGTGTGGCAACTGCTTCAGAAACGCTCAGATTTCCTCCCAAAACTCTGCTTATTGCTATTAGTAAACAGCGGCAGCAGCAACAACAAGAAGAATATTTTGCACAGAAAATGCTAGAAAAAAAAAACACAAACAGATAATGAGCTTTCTCCAAGGTCAAATCATCCAGTTACAAAATTAAATTGGCTTACAGGGGTTATGCAAAGCCCCAGGGGACAGAATTTAAACAAATCAGATTAAATTATTACATCATTTCTCTTATTTTTCTCTTGCTTATCTTTTGTAGAATTCAACAATATTATTTTTTCCATATAAAAATACAAGTAACACATTTTTACCAAAGATGTTAACAGTTTGGTAAGAAACGTTTAGTAAACAGGGATTAACCATAGGATATGTGTGTAAAAGCTTGCAGTCAGGAGCACTGAGAGTTTTACTTCTTTCAATCAATTTGTCTATCTTTCTTTGATACTGCAATCTTAAACTCCACCAAGGGAGGGTGCTGGTGCTCCTCTAGACACTGCCTCTAAACAGAGGTGAAGGCTGACGTGCTTGAAGTGCAGGCCATTCTAGAAATGTGTGGAGTGTAGCAACAATGACGGTTTAAATATACAAGTTGCGTGAACCAGAGGAGACAAGAAATACACATACGTTGACCACAACAAGTCCACACACACTTGTAAAGCTGGGAGCACATTCCAGCTGATCCTAGGTTTGTGAAAGAAAAGACAAAAAACACAGGCTGCCAGATGCCACTCAATGTCAGCCAAAGCCGGGTGTTCACTCTGTGGAACATTCACAGAGTGGTAATGATAGCCCTGCAAGCCACTCGGTGAATTACAGTGGGAAGAATGAGAGTGCACTCCGAGTTCAGCCTGTGACCTCCACACAACGAGAGAAGCGAGTACACAACAAGAGCAGACAGAGACGAGTCTCTAAGTTGTGACTAACCTCGTCGTACTCCTCAGAACAGCCCACAGCTCCATCTCCAGGACTGTAGTTGACGTTGTACAGTTGTGGCTCTGGACCTGCAGACGTGAGGAAGAGGTGGAGGAGGAAGAAGACAGGGTCAGTGTTTGCACAATAAACACAAAGCCAAACAGTACAGCGGGTTCTCCAAACACAAGGCTGGGTGCACAGCGTCCTTATCTTAATCACAACGACTACATCACTCACAAACAGAACGAAACAAAAGTGTCACTTAAGACAATAGACAAGGTGCCAGATATTGGTTTTAGTTACAATTGTCCATTTATTCCAAAACTATGATAATCTGTTCCGTTGGCGTTACTCTCCATGTATATGTTTGATTCCTAACCACTGCTGTACAATGACTTTGTTTTTATAATTGCCAATAAACTCTTCTTTTGAAAACAGTACAGTTTTTAGAACTAATCATGCCACTTGTATTGGCGTTTACAGTACTAGAGGAAGATGTTAACTATGAGATGTGTGGTTGTACTCTTTGATCACCAGTGCCTTCAGCGTTGCTGTGGGTTTTTCTTTTTTTACAGTTTGGTCTTGATCTTTCCCCAGGTTTTCCCAAGTGGTTTCGCGGTGAGCGTTTTATTATTTTAAACACAGTCTTCTTGAATTTTATGAACGCTTCTGTTACAGTACTTTGCATACATTTAATATACAGTACTTTTGTGTAACACAGAATTTTCACAGTTAATGTGTCGGCTGGACTGTTTTACATGCATGTCATTTCAGAGGCACACTGACAGCTCAATGTATTGCCTCAAGTCTTTCAAACCCATTTTGTTGAAGGTCAGCAACTTGATGTGACTTTTACAATCAGTGTTAAAGGGGCCACAGAATGCTGATTCAAATGGTGGTCCAAGGGCCACATGCAGTCCAGACACAACGTTGTAAAGGCCCATTCGCTGGTCATTTGAGAAATGAGAAGAGAAACATTTTATTTATCAATGTGTTTTGATCCCTCCTGTTTAACTCCTGCCACTAATTTCCTGATTTAAGAATGAACTGAATTTAAGAATTAAGAATGCAACTGAATTTAAAATAAAATAGCCCTGGGCCAGAGCATCAAACGTTTTAAGTGTGATAGTAAATTAAAACTATAAAACCTAAAAAAAAAGCAACACTAAACAAAAGACATATGAGTTTAATGTGTAAACACAGGCCTCTGTTGGAAGCATGTAGATAAGGAGTGTAACCTGAGACAGACAAACAAGATGGAGTCCCATCAGCCACCACGGTTGCTGTAGCTAGTAAACAGAGCGGTGAATAGCACCTCACTGAGAGCAGAGAACAAACACTGTTCCTGACAGTAAGCTCTTGGGCTTTTATTTCCCTGTGGGATTTTTAACTAGTTGTTTTACTGTCAAGACTTATTGTGTCTGTGGTGCAGAAGAAGCTGAACTCTGTTGGAGAAAAACACCTGCAGTTTCCCCGGCATGGCCTCCAACAACAATGAAATGTTTGCCTTTTTTTTTTAATAACTATTTATTGTTTTCTTTCAGACATGCCAGAGCGACTACAGGGGACCAGGCATTTCCATAGCTCGCAGGCCCAGTTTTATTAAAGTGCAGTCTTTTCACTGACTAATGGAGCCACAAGGAAATAAATGGGATTGAGGGTGCATTAAACTGAAACAACCTCACAGGTTCAGTTCAGTAAGTAATATTTAAATTGGTGCAAATGTAAAAATGACAAGAAGATACACAGCATGTGCAATGCACCAATTCAGCATGTCGTAAATAATATAGCACTTCACATCCTGTCCAATGATTTCCAATTAATTTTAGATTATCTGTGTCAGAAGATGTTCGTCGACCTTAGCTGTGACTGAAAATAACAATTCTACGTTCAATCAAACCAACAACATTGTTTGAATTGTAATTCACATCTGTGACATGTGTCTGTTGTAAGTGTGAGACAAGACTAAAAATGAACTTGGGACTTTTACAAACTGTTCTTCTTTGTTTATATTTGAGAGGAGGAGGAAAGAAAAAGCAACGTTCACACTGGCTGGTCCTGGTGACTGAGTAACCCATGTTTGCAGACTTAAATACTAAACTGAGTCAAAGCCCATATTCTCCCTGCGCCCCCCCCCCCAATCTGGTCACTGATATTAGTGCTCCTGTTGGCTTTCTCTCCCTGTTATCTTCACATTATTTCAGATTCTGCTGCTCAGACATAGAGTAATTAAACTAAATCAAAAAAGACCTTCACGACTAAAGGATATCTCAGTGATGAAGGCAGTAATACTGAGAAATTACAATTACAAGGCCACAGCTAATAAGCCCTTTAAATTTATGGTGCATTTTAAGCTAGCATAACCACTGCACTGGGAAGTCCAGGCCAAAGGACAGTTAAATTTAGAACATTTCAACTAGGGCAGGACTCAGGAGTCTTATTAATTAATGTGAAACACTAAAAACAAATACCTTCTGGATACAATTCAATTTTGGAAATAAAATTCTTGAGTGGACCACAACTGTAATCCTATACACTAAAAATGGTCAATGCTGTGAAGCAGGAGTCACAATATGGTGTCAATAAAAAGGAGAAGACGGGACATAATGAAGAGGCTGAATAATTTAGGTGAACAGGACTCAGTCCAATCCTGTCCGACTGCCACTCCTACTCTGAAACCATGGCGGTCACCCCATGTGAGTGTACACCTCATGCTTTCCAGTGGATGAATTTTTAATTGTCTGAGAAACTGGAGCTGTGTAACCCAGAAAGCCTCTGGAAAGAGTTTCACAAATCATTACGCAGGGAGGCCGGAGGCCCAACACGCAATAAAGCAAACATGCCCTACTGTGGTGACATCACCACAGCGTGTACAGTATGTCAACAGGAGAAGCACATGCTCGAAAATTCAAGTCTACTGCTTCTGTCACAAGGTTGGTCAACTTTTAAATTCAGGTTTAACAGCGTAGAGTAAAAGAATAGTAGGGCAGCTAAAGCAGAAGAAAGAAGAGCAAAAGAATCTGGGTCAAACTTCTCACTGTCTTCTCAGAATCTTTTACTTCAGATGAACGTCAAATTTGAACATACAGTAATTAAGATAACACCTGTCATAAGTCAGTGGAAAACAGACAGGAGAAGCAGGTACAGACAGAGTCAGCTGCTGAGTCAAAAAAAAGATTAAACATTAACTAAGGTGATTCAGAATCATGAGCATATACAGTTTACAGAGTGTTATCACATAATGAGTCAATAATAACACACATTACAAGTTTAGATCCATCTGATGGTTTACCTCCATTGCTGATTGCAGAAATTCCTCGGTGAAAGTCTTCAAAGCTAATCACTCCCAGGCCACTAGGATCCAGGAACTTGGTCAGATCCTTCACCTGGAAAGATTAAAGAGGCCAAGCATTCACATCTAATTTCATCACAGCTACAGAGAAGAAAACAGGCCGCCTGGAATGATGTAATAACTGATGTAAGTGGAAGTTTTCCACCCAGTGAGGTTAATGACTTAGCTGTGATGTTTGGACAGTGACTTCAGTGGAAAAAGGAATACCACAGGCGCTGGAATAGAGCCGTGTTTAATCCCAACACAAACCACATTAAACCACTGACAACAAAATAAGGTCACTTCATTCACATGGCAGTTTGACCACACAAAACACCAAGATGATCTTGCAGGATATTGATTACAGAAGCAAAAAGAAAAGCAATAAAACACTTTTGTGCTGCAAGATACACACAGCAGATTTATAGATGTCAGGTGTTTCTGACTTTAGTGGATTCAGTGAAATTATGTCTTTACAAGGATGGTATTTCCAATTTTATGGATTTTATTACTCAGTTGACTGAAAACATCCTGAGACCACATTTTATAACGTGTACCAATACAGCCATATCCAGCACAGAAGTGCTGCTGCACCCAAGTGTTAAATGTGTTACATAAGTGCACCTACATATTGTATTTCTACAGTCTGTAACCTGGCAACAAGAAAATATGTGCTTGAATAAGTGCAGGACCTGAGAGAAAAATAAAACCATAAAGAGTGGATTCATATTTTGCATTCACTAAAATTCAGCTGTCAGTGTATGAGGAATCTAATCTGGGATCTCAGGTGACAGGATCAGCAAGTTTGCCTGAGGTTGGGTTAGCATAAATAAGGCAAGAAATATTAAAGCTACAGGGTAAAGTAGTAGATTTGAAGCCAGGTTGGGATTAAATTACAAGATGTAGCAAGGATTGGATAGAAAATAATATAGGTTAGATTAGGCTTGTTGCTTTTAAAGTGGGAGCACAGGAAAGCAAAACGATTTTAATTCAATGGGTTTTTCCCCCGACCAGTATGGAAATTGAACTGACTTGTTATTTCTTTAGTTCAACGAGAACCAAAGAATCAGTTTTGTAGAAGGGTAGAAAGTCCAGCGTACAAAGAAAATAGATTTTGCTGTTTATTTGTCAGGATCCAGGAGCTCAACAGAAACTTTCCAAAAGGGATGAATCAACGTGAAAGGGCCATTAAATAGAGCCCATCTACTCTATACTTTTATCAGTTACATGTAAAATAGTTGATCTGCTTAACAACACTAAGCTGTGACTCAGGAGGCTGAGGCAGCTGGGACTAAATCTAAACCCACAACCCACTTCACCAGAGTGAATTGAAGCTACTTCTCTGTAAGGTTCGTGGGGGAGGTGCTGGTTTGTTCGGTGGCCATTTGGTTTACACAGTAGAAACCAGGTACATTACAACCTCATCTTTGCCATTCTTAGTGCAGCATCTTGGTTCACAGGAAATATAAATTTGTTCCATGCAGTGACTCACAAACGCCTGTGCTGAGGAAAGTGAGAAAACGAGGTGTGACTGATGAATGGAATGAGCATCTGAGGTCATGATGGCACTTTAATGAACAGCTAAAGACAGATTAAACACTGTAAATCCAGTATAATGTGACGGACTGTCTATGACCTATATCTAAACTGCGCAGTCCATGTCCCCCAGGTCTTAAGAGCTGGTCGGCTATTTCTAGGTGTAACCTAAAAACCATGGGTGACTTTGACTTAAATTTGTTTAGTATTATTTGCATGTTTTTTTTTTTGTTTTGGATAAATACAGTAGATCCATAATAACAATGGCTCATCTACATGTCCAAACCAATACATCCTCCACAACGTTGTACTGACAGCCACTGTAATGTATTTCTATTCTGGTGCAGATATCCTAGACATTTTTTTACCTTTAACTTGTTACTCAGTGATGCTTTTAATTATCAGTCAATCCTTGTGTAAAATGTTTCTCTTTGTTGTTGCCTTCCATTTACACAACTCCAGGCAAGGATGTGTTTAGTAGCTGAGGGATATACTTAGGATCTAGGCACAGTTCCCTGATCCTCTGTGAGATTTATTTCCAGTTGTCAAGAAGCTACTTAGAGATACTGTTCATCAGATTTAGACTTTTTTGGTCAGCCATTTGGCTCTGTTTCTTAAAACATCTTGAAGACTGCCTGTACCCCCTGCTGAGATATCCCCAGTGCTGTGCAAACAGTACTTCAGTCAACACAGTCTGAAAAATTAACCAGTTTGTGTCAAACTGACAATTTTATTGGCGATGTTCATCATTTTTACTGACTGGTAATTTCTAAAACCTAAAAATAAGGTTTGCAATTTGGTTTTATAAATTGTTCGTCATGTCATGTTATTGTGTTCATATAGACTATGTCTTATTCCCAAATGGCCAGACACCTTGTCAACACAAAAACAGGTTGTGACGAAAGTCTTACAGTACAGTTATGTCCACGGCAACCTGACAAAACCTGTCTGCAGTTGTTCGCCAGCATATGCTTTTTAATGGATGATTTTTCTTTAGCCTCTTAGTTTGAAATACACTATAAAAAACATTGCATTGTGATGTGCACTAGTTTCAACTCAAATGTTGGTTTGTTTGCTTAGAAGACCAGTGAAGGCTGTGGTTTTTCTGCTTCCTCTATTTGTGCCTAATTAGTGCCGGGCCATGGCTGACCGCCTCCACACAGACCAGTGGTGTTTGTGACCCTGTGGAGAAGAATAGCCTTTGGAGATGGACTCTTTCCTTCAGGGGAATTTAACAATAGTTCCTCAACAAAACTTCCATACCCATGATCATGAGCTAAGTGGGTTGGCCAAAAGAGGGCAGAAAAAATTGCAGAATGGTCTTTTGAATATAAAATATGACATTACATTTAAGTGAGGTCAGGGGCCAATGTTTCATGGTAACGGGACATTCCTTTGTGGATTAGTGGGGCAACACATAAAAGCTGTGGGTGAGGGGAGGCTGGCCAAAGTGGGGTTGGGAGTGTCAACTGACGACTGAGTTTTCACCACAATGTCGCTCAGTGCAGCTTTTGTAAACCAGGGTAAAAATCAAAGGTGAAAACAAAGAGCTTTCCAGGAAGTTAATTCCCAAATTTGAGGGAAATTGGTAGGAGACTTCACTAATAATGACAGTATTAAAATATAATCATTATAAGTATTAAAACTGGTCAGAATGTACAGTTAACAATTGATTGATCTTATTATTAATGGCATAATTGTTTTCAGACACCCAAACAATGGAGGCTCCTGTTGACTTTGACTGTTAAACCAGTTTTGTTCTTGTCCTATTGACAAAGTGGGTCCACCCAACAGGTGGAATTGTTGTTTTTTTTTATTATTGTAATGAAAGATTAATTGCAGCAACTTCAAACAGTGCAGTATCAGGCAATATTTAGCTGCGCATATGGTGTATCATAACCTGAAATGACTGGGGAAGCTGGTATTTACAAGCTAAAAGCGAAATAACTTAAATGCATGTAAATAGGTCATTAATACTGGTGACATACAGGTCAGTGGTAAAACTATATCACAAAATGATTATAGACAATATCAGAGTGTAACTACTAATACTTATACTTACTGCCAATAAAATACAATGTCCAATCATAATATGACTGCATTTTCTTAAATGTGAGCACAATTAACACAAAGTACAATAGGTGTATAAAAACGTAGAAGAGCAACAAATTTAAACCAAAAGATAATTTGATAACATTAACAGTATTATTTGGCAAAAACCAACAGCAGAACTCTTACAGCCATTTCCCTGGGCTTCACCCTGCAACTCTAACTTGCAAAAAAGATAGCTCCCTCTGTAGTTACAGCCTATGAATTTGACTTGTCAGATGTGGTGCTAAATTGTTTGTGCATTTTTTTACAACCACTGAGATACCAACACTGAGGTTCACATCTTTAGATGATTAAAAATCAAGGCTGTTTGACATAAACGCTTGCATTATTGTATTATCATTATATACCAAAATTATATAAAGACCTCATCATCCTAAGCAGGCTTTGTTAGATCACAGCCAACGTTCCCACTAATCCTTGACTGCAGCTAATAGGCACCAAATCCACTCAGATGTAACAAGTCTTTTACAACATTCCTTGAATTCTGTAGATATGTCTGTCTGTGGTCTGCTCGCTTGTTGTAAGTTAAAAAAGCAAACAGGGGAAAGCCTCTGCCTCTTGGTAAACACAAAAAGACAGATATCTGAGTCGAGGTTCTTGTGAGGACACAGAATGGCCCTTGCAGTTTTGCAGGCCAGATATCTGATAGCCAAACACAAAAGAAGTAGCAGAAGTAATCAATCTGCACAATCTGGTTAGCAGTCCAAGGAAACCTTGAAAAGAATCTGGACACTTGGGATGAGAGGTTTCCCAGAAACTGAAAATGCACTAAAGTAACAGTAAAACAAACCACGCCTCTTAAGTAAAAACCTCACCCCAGTCTTGTATAAACCTATCAAGCCCCATTCTAAAGAGTCAACAAAAGGTGGAATTGATTTACATGAAACTAACCTGACAAAAGCAGCAGTTTCTTACCCAAACGAAGTCAAGGCCTATTGGTGAAAAGCCCAAAGCCAATCCCTCCGACCCAGGGACATACATTTTTTTAACTAATCCTTTAATATTCTCAGGCTGGGGAGCCATTGAAATATTTGAAACCAGACATTGGACACAACTGGGCAAATAGGGGCTTTGAACTGTGAGGGACAGGATTAAAAAAGCATTAGTGAGCCAGAAACTGTCTGTGGGGCACCAACAAGTACCTACTCGCTCAAAAGCAGGAACTATTCAGACCTGAATTCAAAATGTCAAATTTAAAAAAACACAAACAAGTTCAATTTTGTCTCCTAAGACAAAGTCAGTGTCTCAATGTGGTGATAAGAATGTGCAATACACACCATACAACAGGTACTCTTGTTCCTACTTTGACTGAGGTGACATCATTGTTTACATTCATCCTTTCATTGCTATTTGCAAAGGGTGTGTGAACAGTTGGACAGGTAAATAAACTACTGTTTCTACTAGTTTAAAGTTGAATTGAAGTTGTTCTTTTAGTTGGTGATATTTACAATTATATCAACTGTTATAACTGTGTTGTTCTGATCAGCTTGCCCATCAATTACTGAAACCAGTGTCTAGTGCAGAAGTCCTGAGGAATAGCTGACACTCAACACCGGGCAACATTGTGTGCACAGTACATAGAGCTGTATGCAAAATGGGGCAGCTACCAATAGAGCTATTTATATCAAAAGAGAGGGAGCAGACACAGCAAAAAGTCCTAATTCAGATTAACAATGCATGACACAGAGATGTTTTTCAACCCAAATATACATGTTTTGAATTAAGAACTAGAACTAGATCTATTTTTGGGTGGGATTGTGGGAAAGATTGCATAAAATGTGTTTGAATATTACTTTCAGAAAAAATGTGAGCTCTCATCAGTATTTGCATGAATCTTCTGTCCCTAAACTCCCAAGTGGAAAACAAGTATTAAATTTTGGGAAACAAATACATGGTTGATGGTAACACACTCCTAAAAGCCTGGAGTGAGACACAGCATATGGGCGTGGATCTTGGGTGGGGTGTGACATGGCAGCAACTTCACAAGTGATTATTCCCCAAATGTTCTTGTCAGCTGACATATGGGGGAGTCAGGTCTGAATAAAGCTGTTACAGCCAACATGGATGACAGACGACCATAGAGATTCAACTGAACAACCACAAAAGCAGCTAAAGAAGATAATCCAGTCATGGCTTCAACAGTCCTAATATGTTTTGGAGTCATTTTTAACTTAAAAAAACATGAAAAATTAAAATAGGAAATCTTGATTTTTTTTGCATCATACAGGCTAGATTGGAGCATACAGCTTTACAATCTGCAAACTGATATCAGCCGGTTGAATTTCAATTGATTGAATTATGTAGAGCTCTCTGCGGCTCTGCTGAAAAATCAATGATAAATCATTTACGTATATGGAGCTGTACAGGGTTTTACGCTGCACTTTCCCAGCATGCATTAGGCATTAACTACTTGCTAACAAGCAGAAAAGCACTGAGGAAAAAAACAAACAAGGGATCTCACCTGATCAGCCCCATAGGCAGCAGCAAACTCCATAAACTCCTCAATCCGAACAAAGCCATCTCCATCTTGGTCCAAAGCGTCAAATACAGCTTTCAGAGGGGAGACATCTTCCTCTCTTGTGTTGTCAGCTGAAACCATTGGCAGTGAATCATCTACCACCATCTTAGAGAGCGACAGTGTCTCCACATCTTGCTCACTAGTCCATCCAGCCTCGGGAGAAGATGTGGTCAAGTCATGGACAGAAAACTCCAAAGAGGTTACCTCATGAAAGTCTGATTCTTTAAGCATGTTACTGGCCGTCACGCCATACTCGTCCGTCTGTTCAGCTGTTGATTCTGGAAGACTTCTGCTCTGTAAATCCTCCAGTGCTTTCAAGTCCCAGGTCTCATGGTCAGGAACCTCATCAGCAGTGAAGCACAAATCCAAAGCCATTGTCTCATTCTCCTGAGTTTTGGCTTCAGAACAAATTTTGTCCTCCATCACATCTTTAAATTCATCCTTCAAAGAGTAACACTCAGTAGTGATGTCACCCTGGATGAGGGCATCTTCAGCAAGAGTCACAGCCTGTGAAGAAGGTTCATCTGACAAACCCACAGCACATGATTCATTCTCACCCTGTTGCTCGGATGCCAACTTGCTAATAACACCAGCTTCTCCTTGTTGCACCCCTGACTCCTGTGTCAGTAAATGTGGAAGTACAGTCGTGGGGGTTACAGAGACAGGACTATCAGGAAAAAGGTTCAGACTGTTGTCATAATCTGGAACCACTGAATCCAACAAAGGTAGAGATCCTTCAAAAAACTCTGCAGATGTGCTCATGTGGTTTTCTGAGAAGCAGCCCTCACGTAAGTCTTGAGCAATAGTTCTACCACCTACAGGCAGGTCAGTCACTTGATCAGGGAATAAACCTTTGTCTCTGGTTTCAGGTGACCATGTGTCACTGCTCTGGGAGGGAGGGAGGCAAGCCTGGTCCTCCTGTGACAGGTCTATCAGCTCCTCACTGACACCCAGTGGGTTGAACTCACCAGTGGGAAGACAAACAGGTTCATCTGAGAGAAGATCTACCAACAAAAATGGATCTCCTACATTGGTCTCAGGGGTTCCTACTGAGACCTTTGAGGGAGAGACAGGTACACTGAGGGTTATTAACTCATCCTGGCCACAGGGGGCTTCAAGGTCCTCCTGATATTTCTCACATGTTAGATCCAGATGAGTAGAAGCAGAGTGTTTTCCAACCACGTCAGTGAGGTTGGAAGGAAATAACCATGATAAATCTGCATCGATGTTATCACCAGTTCTGTCAGTTTTTTCTATGTAAGACAACTCCTCCAGAGATGGACTATGGTCAGAAGCAGAAATAAGCGTGGACTTGTTGGGTTCAAACTGTAAATCCCCAAGAGAAAAATTTGAGATATTCATAAAGCTACCCAGTTCAACTGGCTTTGCCTGGAAATCATTGACTTCTTCCCTTTGATAGTTTTTCTGCTCGTGGTCAGTGTCTCTGAAGTCCAAACCTGTTCGGTCACCTGTGTTTTGACAGAGCACACCTCTGTTGTCTGAATCCAGAGTGTGAAATCCGTGAGGAAATGTCTGCTCTGACTCCCACTGTTTGTGGCCCAGAGGGGCAGACAGAACTGTCGGCTCCATTTGACCTGGTTATATACACAAAAATGTGGACAATGATGTCTTATCTCACGGCTGTCGTCAAGATCCTGCTTTTCACTTTATATGCCATGTTTCTAAATAGCACCACACACTTTTGGTTAAATGCAGAGGGAGCTGTGTGAGCTGTCCATGCTCACTGTTACCTCTGACATTAAAGTATTCTTACAGGAAGTGATACTGAACAGATGACTGTCGCTGTAACCTCAGTAAATGATCCTTCACGCATACACCAACTTTCACAACATTTCAGAGTCGTGACAAACTGAACTCATCAGATTTGTGCAAAGGAGCCAAAGTGAAATTCCTCATCCGACTTGCTAATGACATCACACACACTTCAATTCTAACTATACATCAAGCAGGCGGTATTTTAGCAAATATAAACTAAAAAATAAAATGCCATCTTGATAAAATAATCTATAATTTTTCATTCCTCTGACTTCTGGTGACTTCTTCACAAGTGTAGAATCACTGAATAAGGCAAATTGCTTGCAACTGATGACTTAAGGACTGGAAGACTAATCAATATTAAATTAAACACCAAACATTTATGATAGTCACTAGACTAGACAATTTTAGGAAGCCGTGACTGGTTTTAACACAATTTCAAATTCCCAATTACAGAAATAATCACTATTATCAACTAGAGTAGGACAGAAACTTATTATTTCTTTTATTAATTCTTCGAATTCACTGTGTCCAGCTTTGTGTATTGGGACCCACTATTTCCCAATCCACCGGTTGATGTCTTAATGTTTTGGCTCTAGCACATTCAACATCACTATTGTCCTTACAGGTCGCAAATGGACGAGATACAGATTTTTTAAAATTACGTTCGAATGACTTGAACTAATGCGTTCAGTCACATCTGTTTGTCAACATTAGACCATTACCTCATGTCATCCATGGAGGAGCTAATTTGGCCAGGCGACCGCTGGATCTGAACCCTGCACGAGCCGCAGTGGTGATTTAATCACCCCTTTTAACCAAACAGTATAAGACTCGTCCACATTTTTTGTACAAATACGCTCAACCTCACCTTCCAGCATCCCACTTGTACGGAAAGGATGGGGCTAACGGAGTAGCTAGCGGAATTAGCCTATTAGCTCAGACTCGCTGTCTCATAAAAAGCTCAGTTTCCCTTCATTTTCTCGGTAAAAAAAAAGAGTGGCGTCTGGTATTTTTTCCGAAAATTGTGCCGTCCTCACCGCTTCTCCTCTGTCCAGTTTCAATGTCTCTTCTTCGTGTCAATGAGAGCGAAAATCCACCTGTGTCGGTCAATGGCACCGCAGGCCATAGCGACTGAGCGAGTGACGATTCCAGACGTCAAATTCCTTCGTTATCTTCGGCCGGAGAATGATCACCTGTACCGGACACAGCGAGCTGCGTCGTCAGGTTGCGATGTAAAACGAAAACAATGTTAAATAAAAACAGCGAACTCCATGATGGCAACGGTGGGAGCTGTTGTGTTTGGTCACCGAAAATGAAGTCTCTCTCTCTCGCGCTGGCTCGCTCGCTCTCTCATCAGCATCAGCAGCAGTGAGTCCTCCTCCTCCACATCACTATCACCTCCTCCTCTTTTTCCTCTTCCTCCTCTTCCTCCACCTCCTCAAGCCGCAGACTCTCCACTGACGTTTTCACGCAAGCGTACAAAACGGGCCGCAGTGTCATTTTTAGTTACATCTCATTTTACATTTGTTTTCTTGGCTGCTGGCTTAAATATCCAAAAATACAATCCTTCGAACAGTTTGTTGTGGCCCAGATGTGCGGTCTATTTCTCCCTGTGACATTAAATGTGTCGTCATTTATTTTATTTAATCTTGATTTTTTTTCTTTAAGCACAACTAGTTAATAATATAATACACAAAGCCGTTTTGTTGGATAGATATTTTATCTGCATAAATAAGGACACAACGTACGCGCAACATGAATGTTAATGATTTGGCGCCCCCATCTGACTAATATAAGTACTGCTTCCTATGCAGTATTATTGGCTCACAAACACATAAAACTAATTTCACCCAGAGGAGAAATGATGTATTTATCAATCATTACGTGGTTCTTTTTTCTGTTTTAGTGTATGCTTGCAACGTTTTTCTTGTTATTCAATATAAACTTTAAACTTTTCTGGCAAACTAATATAAATTCATAAAACTAAATAAAACAAGTAACAATGTATATGATGCTTACATTAAAAGGAATGAAAATATAAACCAACATTTTGTGTGTTGCTGTTTTATTTATATTATCAAAATGTATTTGTTCCGTGTTACAAATGTACAGAAAGGATCACTGGGGTGCATGAATTACTGAATTACTCTTTTTGTTCTCCTGCTTCTACTTGTCTCCTCTCTTCTCCGATGACCAATAACCTAAAAGAAAAAATATGATAAATCCACTGAAATCTCCTTTGCGACACAATCCACAGTGTGACAGTTTTCATTCTCTGTCATTCTCACATGGACCTCCAACTGCACCTCCTCCTACACTCCTCGGTCAGGAGGAGGGGGAGAGCCCCTTTTCAGAGTTTAGCTGATTTAGAGGAGGCTATACCCAACAGCATGGAGACGTCATTGGCTGAGGTCAACCATGCTCCGCCATCTGCTACTAAAATGGCTCCAGTCACATATGAAGACACACAGCTGGCCAGGGAGAGCGTGCAGGGAGCCATCTCTGTCTCAGCTCGCTGGAGAGGAATGGAGCTGAAGTGACCGGCTGACTCTCCCCTTGGGCCACCTGAGAGTTAGAAATGTGTCAAAAGGGCAACTTTGAACATGTTAACTTAGTTAGTTTGTCTTCAATATAGCTACAGCTAGTTTTCAACTTTTATTTTTTTAATTACCCAGTCTACGGAATCCCTCTGTGCCAGAAATGGGTCCTGGAGCCACAGCATTGACCCTGACCCCACTTGGCCCCCACTCCACAGCCAGGTGCTTGGTCATAGCATCTGAGGAGAATCAGTAAGACATTAAGTGGTCATAAAGTACATTCTCATTTAGAAATACTAATTGAAATTTTTTTTTCATGTAAAAGCGATTCACCATTAGCAGCCTTAGCAGAGCCAGCGTGCACCTGTAGACCCTGTCCCCTGTATCCAAGTGTTGCAGAGATGTTGACTATGTTTCCACCATGATCCTGGTCAAAAGGAATAATATTTTAATTCATCACAATGATGGGGAATATTTGATAAATGTAACGGGGAGAAATCTTGGCTTAGATTTAGGATCTTTGGCGTCCTCTCCTGGATTTATGGACACTAAGAATATGACAGGGAAGCTGTAGCATCCAGCTGATGACTGTTAGACCCTGTAGTGAATTTAATTTATAAAAAACAGAGGAATATTAAAAAAATAAAAATACATTAAACCTACCTTAAACCATTTCTCATAAACCACTTTGCTGGTGTTGAATGTTCCCATGGTGTCTATCTCCATCACAGTTTTGAAGGCATTGAAGGAAAGTGAAGTGGCTGGACACAGAAAATTCCCAGCTGCATCTGCAAAAATAAATGGCAACAACAAATTACAATTCAAGCAGATTAAATGATGTATTTACCTGTAATCAGAGGGGAAAGATAGCAGATAAGAAGAAAAGATGAAGCATCAGAAATGTTGATGATTAAACCTGAACTTATCACACTTTGTCTTTTGTGCAGATTACAACTCCATACAATTCACCCTACAAACACCACATGATAATCAGTGTACAGTTGCACTGAAGAAAAACAATAACCTAAATGAAGACTATTAACATACTGTTAATGAGGACGTCAATACGGCCAAACTCTCTTAGTGTCTCCTCCACAGCTGCTACGATGCTCTCAGGCTGCCTCACATCAACAGACAGGGGCAGACAGCGGCGTCCTGATGCAGCAGACAGCTTTTTGGCTGCCTAGACACACACAGGTACATTAGCTTAAAGTACTAAGTTCTATGACTATGTCTTTTTGGATGACGTGCAATCACCTCTTTGAGCTTATCTAAGTAATCACGGTGTCACAGCCATGCCTGGGAGATAGCAGAAACACAGAGAGAATGAATTTGAAAACTTGCACAAGTTCAGTGTAAAAAGAGACAAGGAGTTGAGTCATCAGTAGGACTAAGGGTTAAACGAGGAAACATAGAACTCCAGGTCAAAAGTGAAGGGTAGGGTAAATGTTAGACTAAAGTACACAAACTTGACCTGGTACTATAGTACTGCAGTAGATGTCGATAGTTTACAGTGGTGTCAATAAAACGCAACTCCAGTCTGAATATTTTCTTACTGAACTAGAGTGACACCTCACCTATCGCGGTAGTTGCGTTCCAAGACCCACCGCGAAAAGAGAAAATGAGTGAAGAGATGAAGAGAAAAAAAGTAGGGACAAGATAGTTTTCATATTGCCGCTAAGTAGGGACAAGATAGTTTTCATATTGTTTACGTATATATTTATCCTTAACGAACCTTCCTCACTCTGTTATCAACCCTCCCAGTCTAGGCAGGCGTTAAATTAGGGTCAGCTTTCACCGATGCTTTGATGCATTAGCCAATCAGCGTGAGGAACAGAAGTGAATGCTCAACTAGCCAATAGAATGCTGTGCACGATCTCGTTCAGGTAAACAAAGCCTTTTGCTATATTTTTACTGTTTAATTGTTTTAGGTTAGAAAATGTTTTGTATCACAAAAATAATTTAAATATTGGAAATAAAAAAAAATTCCCGTAAAGAAAACCGCGATATAGCGAAACTTCCGCGGGACGGATCACAAAAAAACCACGGTGTAGTGAGGGAGCGAAAGAAGAACCGCGATAACGAGAGGGAACACTGTATTTCATCATGACAGAATGACCTCTAAAATTCATATGCATATCATCGTAAAAACCCTTCAAGCCACAGACTTTTTTTTACAGTATCACAGTTAATTCTTGTGTCCAGCTGCTAGTGACTGTTACTGGAGTAAATGCTTGTAATGAATGTCTTCAAAATGTGAACATGCTGCATGATTTTCCTCTCACCTCATGAATACTTCAGCTATTCTGAATCCAATTCCAGAGCCTCCGCCTGTAATAAAAGCAACCCGATCCCTGTGAAAAATAAAGTGTGAAATCAGGGAAGGTGACTCGCTGTCGGGGACAGCAGATCAATAATGGTGAAGAGGAGATTCAACAACATTCAGCTGTAAGATGCTCACTTGAGTAAATCTGGGCTGTAGATGTGTGTGTATGAAGTCAGGCAGTCGTCTGAACCCACGTCTTCAGGCAGCACCTCTCCTTGTCTCTGTGGCTCTGCCATGCTGCCAAATAATATGGCACACCAAAAAATGTGACACTGCAATTGCATTTTCTTTGTTAATTTTATTGCAAATAGTAACTTTTGGAAAATTATGATGACGATTAAAATAATGTACATTGGTGTTTTAGAAATAAGGGCAGATTATTAATATATTTTCTAATATAGTGTAATCAAATCCTGACGCTATCTTTAAATACGTGCACAATGCAATAGTTTGTAAACTAATTACGATACTGTACTAACGAGAAGACAAACAACAGTTGGCTCAACGTACTGGACTTTGACATAAGTTCTTAAAACATCTGTCAACAATCTACAAAACACAAATTACACTTCACCTGTGGATAAAACACTTGTTATTAATGTTAGATAACGTTTATTTCAAAGCTACTTTCTGACACATTTGCAGCCTGGCACTTCCAGGACTGTGCTGCAAAGTTGTATTTTCTACGAGTCGACCTTGTAAATACCCCCTTTTTTGACTTACCACGTTTTGCACTTAACTATTTATCTCTCACCTTGTACGTGTCTTCTTCCAGCCGTGAAAACTTTCAGGAATGAATAGTCCTTGTACCATGAACTCTGAACCGATTCTTTAGTTTTCCTCCGCAGTGCATTATGGGAAATACAATCTCAAAAGGCGAAAAGACGTCCGAAAAGACTTCACTGACATTTTCACGCAAACGTACAAAACGGACCACTGAATTAAATTGGTCGGCAAGTTTAATGTGCCGTCATTTATTTTATCCATCTTGTATATTTCTTTAACCACATCTAATTAATAACATAACACGCAAAGTCGTTTCGTTGAATGGACATTTTATGTGGAAATAAGGACACTCAACATATCGACAACAAACTGCTTAAGATGAATGTTTTGGCGCCTCCATTTGACTAATATAAGTACTACTTCCTATACAGTATTATAAGCCATATATAAAATGATCAAAATTTTGCGAAAGTGCCCTCTTGATCTATCGAAAAAATAGCGGGGGCCATAAACTGTTCTGGAAAATATCTATTTATACAAGTTGATTTAAATCAACTTAAGTCAGCAGTAGAATATGTTGGTCATTTTTAATTGCATAGTTTTGCTTATTTGGGGTGTTTTAACAGTAGTTTAATTATGGAATTCACAAAAATAAGTTTATATGAAATGAAACAGTTAAGTAAAATAGATGACTAATGAATCTCTGAGACCACATACAGGTCTAAGTTTCTAAACTTAGTTAAAAAAGAAAATTCCAATAAGGATTCTTTTTTTTTTTTTACATATTGAACAGTTGAAAGTAAAACCCACTGAGTGTAACCCATCCCCAGTACCTGTCATCTTCTAGAATGGTAGCTTGGACCCTCCTCTGTAAACCAACCTTGAAATGAACGATCTGTGGTGTATTATTTCACATTTCAGACAGATCGTTGTACAGTACAGCAGAATGACCCATATTGATCTGGACTCTGGGGTTTACTGATGGAAAAAAACCTTATGCAATGGATCTCTGAAATACTTCTGGGAGAGATATTTTTCTCTGCACTTAGAGGCTGCAGGAATGGCAGCATTGCACACAAGAGCTTCAGAAATGTAAGACGGGTGTTTTGGAAACTTGATTTGTTTTTCCAGGAAGCAGAAGTAAATAAGACAATAATAGGTGCACAGTAGAGCTATAGCTTTAAACAATAATTTAACCTTAAATAAGTTACTTCAACATGCAAGCTTGCAGTTTGCAATATCAAATGCCTAAATGGTTATTTTATATTTTATTTATAAAGACGGTGTCTTTATATATGTGCTGCACCACTCTCATTAACTTCTTTGCCCCTTTTGACTTCTTCTTCTGCTACCTTTTGTACCTCTCTTGCTTTTCTCTAAATAGACAAAGCAGACAGCAACATTACACGCATTTTGAAGGATAAAATCAATTTGAGCAACTCTTTTCTATTACATCATGGGGCTGCTAACGTCCTCATACAATTTGTTTTTTCAAATATGTTTCCAGTGCGCCCCCTGCTGTGGGTTCGTTGTGTAGTCGACTAAAAAAAATCTAGAAAAGTGATTTTATACTATATTTCAACCAAAACGACTTCGTTGAAAGTGACCATGTTTATCTGGCTTTCAAACACATGTATTTCAAAGCTTGGCCATTAGATGTCTCTGCACTTACATCATGTCCGTTTCTCCGTAAACCAATAAAGCGTTTTCAGCCACTGAAATGTTACACTTCAATAAAGCTGAATAAAAATGTATCCTACTGCGTATTTTTTCCCTGTCTATCAATTATATCTAATGTGAGTGGGTGAAGAACAGACTGTGGATTTTTTAAAAATAAGTTATTTAAAAAATACATTTTCTCTTATGCTTTTTTATACTGTTTATTCCATTATTTTATGTGTAGCTTTATAGCAGTATCTAAGAAAAACTCTATATTTTGCCTGAATTTGTAGGAATAATGTATCATATCTGTAACCTGGACTATGGCAGTTCCTCTAGATACTTTCCTTTTATTTGGTGCTGTTAGAAAATAAATGTGTTTATTGCAGAGTTGATGTTTGAGATTACCCTCGTTTGTCACTGTAAGCGTTCATGCAGACATTTCCCTTGGAAACCTTTAGTGACCTTCTGTATTTTCGTCTTTGTTCATTAAAGGCCATTCGTCTTGTTAGCAGTCATATGTAACCATGAAATACCTCCCCTGGCCTTATCATGACCCATGATCATATTTTTTTCTGCCACAGAAAGAAAATAGGGCTGTCATGAGATTGTCTCTGGTTGTGTGAATCACCCAAAACAGCTGGAAGGTTACTTTTAACTATTCATGTTTTATAGTGGGGAGTTTTAATTTCCCTTGACATGTTGTCTCATTGCCGTTTTGCCTTTTCTACCGTTTATTCATTGTGATATGAAACGTTCAGTTTCTTTCCCAAGCGTCACACAGGAAAAACGAAAGATCCCGCTTTGGTGCTGTAATATTGACGATTTGTCCCACGTACAATAAAAGGCATAATGAAAAACTCAATCAGTTTTCTAAGAGTGTTGTTACAGTGTTTTAAATTGTGAGACAGGGGGCTGCAAACATCAGAGGGGAAGTTTTAACGTCTCAAAATTTAAATTAGCATATACTGCCGGTACTAGCATAGTACATGTTTACAGTATTTACAATCATAGTTCAATGACTGTGAGCTGATTAAGCTGATTTTTTAAGTTTGTACACATTCAAACGTACATGTTCCAAACTCCACACGCATATCAGATATCTTTGATGTTTGTCATTTGAATGGTACAAAAGTAACCAATCAGAGTGCAGCATGTGGAGGAACCATGCTCCCATTTTCTGTTACTATTCCAGGATCAGTTACACCTACCTCTGGTGCAAAGAAACCCCAACAGCAGTGGAGTGTCACCTTACAACCTGATGTGTTTGCCCTAGTTCATCCAGTAGTAAGAGACTTGGAGATGAAGCTCCACAGTCACTATCTGTCCAGACATCGTGCTTACCACTTCTTTAACTGTTACAGTCAACCTGGTACAGCTTAGGTCAGCAACCCCCAGTACCCTCTGCTGCTCCAGAGGGCATCTGAAACCTACACTGTCGCAGCACCTACAGCTGCTCCTGGACTGTGTCCATGTGTTTGCATTGTCTCTGTCTGTGCAGCTCTGCCTTTCACTCCTGCTGTAGTCTTTGACCCGTCAGTCTGTTCTCCTGTCTTCTTCTCCAGACCCACCAGGCTGCTGCTCAACTCCCACAGCTTGCGGGCTACTTCATCATCCAAGGCCTGGGGAGCTGGTTCCTTTTCTGTCATTACATCATAGTAGTGTCCAGTCACACCCTCCAACTCCTCAGACACAGCCAGATAAACACTGGGCTGGGCCCCAAGTTCTGGGCTCTTCACCAACATGGAGAATAGGGGGCCTGGAGTGGAGATTGTGGAGAACACAGAGAGGTTAAGCAGCACGCAAAACCACAAGCAACAGAATCTGTGCTATCATATGTGGTGTCCCTTTTCAGAGATTGTAAATGATCTGAGTATTAAGCACCATTTTCCCCAACAGCAGAGAATGTTTACTAGCCCAGAGTGGATCATGTAATTAAATTCAAACTCACAGCAGTGAAAAAAAAAACATTAATTCAATGCCAGAGCCAGTGCAGTGAAGCAGAAGCAGCAACGGGATTCTTGGTTTTCTTGAAGTGCTGTAACTCTTTGTTTAGTGATTGAAATACTGTGAAAGTACAGCCTCTGTATAAGAAAACAGATGCAGCCACACCTACAAAACACCCTCATACAGAACCTACCATGAAGCATGAAGTTATCAAGGCATCATGTTGTGGGTGTGTGAGGCATTTTTCCCAAAATACTTTTGTTTTGTTGCCACTTGGGAGACTGTTCTTTGTTTGATGTTAAAGGAAAGGCAAATTGTATCTCTGAATTTGGTATTTAAAAAAATCTGGAGTCAGCTACAAGGCTGAATTATTAGAATTCAGGATGTCAAAGATCAAAGAATGCAAATTAATTTGGAAAAAAAGAATATAATAATTTTGGAATCACACATTTCCAGACCAAACAAATGACCAGAAATCTGACCTTAATTTAAATAAAAGATCTCATTTAAAAAATACTCTAACATTGTTGGTTATATTTGACTTGTTCTTATTGCAGACTGGCTGTATTGATTCCTCTTACTCTAGATTCCAATAAAGACACATGATACTCACTGAGCACAGAGGTGGAGAACGTCGACTGGTGGAGGCCGGTGTGTCTCCCCAGCTCTGTAGCCACAACTCCTGGGTGAACTGCATTAACTGTGACGCCTGTGCCTGTTACACACACACACACACACACACACACACAGTCATAGAGATGTTCAAAATACATGCATATTAACTTGAAAATTACATTCAAGATCATGGGCCCACACACTTGCCCACATATGCAGCAAACAGTAGCCTTGCCTTGTAATCTCTTGGCCAGTTCTCTGGTGAAGAGAACGTTGGCGAGCTTGCTCTGACAATACGCCTGCTTGGTGTCAAACTTCTTCTTCTCCCAGTTCAGGTCCTCAAAGTCCATCTTTCCAACAATGTGGGCGAGTGAGGAAAGGTTGATGATTCTGCTGGGAGCGGACTCTTTCAGCTTATCCAACAAAAGGTTTGTCAACAAGAAATGGCCTGAAGGAGGAGGAGGAAGAAGGAGAGCCAAGAGAACACAATAAGGAGGAGACTAATTTAAATCAGAGTTTATTTAAATAGCTTTGTTAAAAAATACTACTTTACTCTAGTTTCTTCTGAGACTCAAACTCAACTCAGACCTGTTTTCAGTGACTTCTGCCTAAAACCACAGAGACCTGACACTTGGAGACCAAAACTAACACCCCAACGACCTCGGACTCATCTCATCCCATTTTGTTAGTGACCTAAATTTAAAATGTTTTTTTTTTTTTTTTTGGCCCAACCTTTCATGGGATTTCCTTGGATGTGGAATTGTACTTGATTTATTTCTTGTAGTGACTTGGTAATAAGACCTTAGGGGCTTCACTTACACGTGTGTTACGAAACTATGTACACAATCCTGCTGACTTAATTTGAATCTGTGAACGTAGGAGACCTGGAATGGAATCCAAAATCAATGTAATTTTTTTTTCTGCAACTGTGTGGACTTCACTTGGACATGACTCAAACAACTGTGGCCTTAACCTGGTCTTTAAATTCATTTTTCCTGTTACATTTTGTGTTTTTTCTTTGTTTTTGTTTTTTTCAAAACCCCAGAGACTCAAGATGAAATCAACTAGATCTTTAATTCTTAATTCAAAGATTTGAACTTGGACCTTGACCCACTCGATTTCCCTTCAGTAAACATAATCTATAAGTGGCAGAACAACAATGACAAATGGTCTATATCACTGTTAAAAAAAACAAAAACACACCTAAGTGATTGACTCCAAACTGCATGTCAAAGCCGTCCTCAGTCTTCCATGCTGGACACCTCATGACTCCTGCATTGTTTATCAGCACATCCACCCGCTGCTCCTCTGTAATATAAGATATAAGATAAGTAAAAATGTACCAAAATACTCCTTCACTTACTACATTTCTGATCTCTTAATGTCATTATTTTCTAACCTTTGTTGATTTTCTCTGCAAACTCTCGTATAGATGTCATGGAGGCCAGGTCCAAGTGACAGGAGTAAACCTGAGAATTCAGTGTCTTCCCACGAATTTCCTTTGCTGCTTCTTCACACTTCTTCATGTCACGGCATCCCATAATGACCCGCCCCCCTGATGATTTATTAGCAGAACAAAATATGAAGTCGTCATGCTAAAAATATGACTAGTACATATATTTTTTATCATTGTGTCATTTAAAACACCAAATCTGAGTTACGTCTTGTCTGCTGCACACCTCTCTTGGCGAGTTCTTTAGCCGTCTCTTTGCCGATGCCTGTATTTGCTCCTGTTATTACCACAGTCTTTCCAGTAATTACTGCCTTACTGGGACACCGGCCTCCCGTCACGTGGTTCCTATGGATGGGCAAACGCAGCTAATTTGTCAAGCTCTCAATTTTAAAAACTGCATGATAAAATCTTTGAATTTATACTGAAAGTAGCATGAAGTAACAAGTTAAATTTATTTCTACTGTTTAACATAAAATATAAAAACAACACATCGATATGAGTACAACAAAAGTATATAAAAATGTATGGCGTTTTTTAAAAGTAATGTCTCCTTTTCGTAAATTTAACAATCGGAGTTATATTTTGGCAGGAATATAATATCTTGAAGCATATTTGGCAAGTGAAAAGTTAAAACATCCATTTCCATTTCACTAATAACACAAGTGTTTATATGTATATATGATTACCAGCGTTTAAACACGAATACATTATTTGATTAGGATGAAATTCTTTAATGTTAATAACACGTTCCTATAACATTACCACATAATAATATAAAGTAAAAGTAATTCAATAAAAATAAAAATATTTTTGCCGGTAACTGCAAAATGTATAAATGTGTTGTAGTAACGTGATACATGTTTTTTGTTTGTTTGTTTGTTTTATTACATGCACAACACATGGTTTTACATGATAGGAAATGTACTTACTTTAGTAAAACAGCACAACCGAACACAGTTCCGACGACAGAGACAGGTAAAATGTATTTACTCATGACTGTGGAATAATGTTAACATTTAAACACACCATTAAAACGAGTTTGAAGGGAAACCTCTTGTCAAATAACACAAGGTTACCCGCGCATAGATTTACCGTCATCAAGTTAGAAAGGGCCGAATTGCATTATGGGATATGTATTCACTTGTCTAAAACGGCCTCTTACAGCTAACAGCTTTTGCTGTTCGTTTAATTGTACATCAGGGTGACGTTTAAGCCATATTTCCATTTTAAAAACAAACAATAAAAATATCCATTAAATGTAAAATGAGAATATGATGACACAAAGGTCGACAGATTGTCAAAGGGTGTCTACCGTAAATGGAGTACAAAGTAGTTATGATACAGTATGACTTTACATTTTTGGCTACGGTGTGTTATCCAAAGTAGAAAAAAAAACATGAACTTTGTCTGATGCCAGTGATGACCACTCCTGTCTCACTCATCCAGCCACTGATTTTACACAGTTACTCATGGAGCAACAAAGAAGCAGAGTCAAGATGGAGGTGAAATTGGGAGGGGTGTAAAAACAAGGGCATCGTCTGGCAAGAGGAGGTGACACATTAAAAGTGAAACTAGGACATGAGTCTGTTGTCTGAAAAAGTTAGAAAAATAGAAGGAGGTGGAGAAGGAGGAGGAAGAGGAGAAAATATTGTTAACAGATTAAAACAGTAATCACTCCTCATTGACCACTGGATAAGAAAAGTGCCATTCAACACTCTTAAATATCTTGGAGCACAGGAGATGTAGTCATCTAATATATGACCTGCCTTGTTTAAAAAAAAAAAAGAAAAACTTCCTCCAGGCTGGTGAAAAACTTTTGTATGACAAGGCAGAAAGATGATCTCTGTTTTATTGATTCTGTCAGCCAACATCCTTGACAGATTTTTCAGAGAATGGTAAATGGACATGACTTAATGAGACAGCAGCCATTCTGGGACAAATTCTCTGGAAAATCTGAGGAAAAGCAAAGTTATTCTTGCACATAAACAGACCAAACTACTTCACTTGGCCCACATACAGAACAACAATAAACTCTGAAGCAGCTGAGTAGAGGGCAACTGGACTGCCTTAGTTTATTGAAGATGTTAAATGACCTGAATGACTGAGGACCTACATAGACAACAATAAACCATAGGGTCACTGCCACTTAAAGCCAGTCATTTATAGCTGTAGTTTGGCCTACATTTGGTATCTAGATTGAGGACCAAACGGTCTTGGCCAAATGTCAGCCAAAGCTGACATTGAAGGGGCAAACATACTGGATTTGCCCCACAGTGCAAATAGTTGTTGATTCTAACAACAAAATCAGATCAACTACCAAACTCCATCCATCCATCCATTTTCATCCGCTTATCCGTTACCGGGGGCAACAGTCGCCATCCAAATCACATTGCACCGTACCTAAACCTTCCTGCAGGTGGTGAGTCCACGGGAAGGTACCAACCGCCCTAACCGGGACTCAAACTTGCCCAGGAGGTGAACCCTGGGGTTCCACACCAATGACAGAGACATTGCCTCTGGGCCAAAACGCCACTACTACCAAACTTCCTATAGAAAGACCATCAGCTACCAGTAGGGCTCAAACCTTTGATCCTTGTACTGTAAGGCCCCCAACCATTCTTCCCTTTTTGTGGCCCACATTCTATCCAGCTCTATCCAGTCTGTTATGGCTACAATGTGCTATAGCTGGTTGGGCAAAAAGCCTGCTGTTATTAAATATGTGCAGTAAAGACGGTTCAAGCTGTCGGTGCCGTAAATTAAATGAAAGTCTTCCCCTCATTGTTACCTAACACAGACACTTGGCAAAGTCACTGATGCAAAGGTCCCGGGGCCATGTGAGCTGTTGAATTATGCAAAAAGCAGTTTAACAGCCTGTTCCTTCACGGTGTGAATCAAAAAGCTAGACGCTCTTGGATGTGCAGTGATGTGTGGACAGTGCATTGACGGTTCTTTAAAATGTTGACATACAGTCAACATACAGTAGAACTGAAAGTGAAATGAGGTCTGTATAAAAGTGAAGCGGTCGTGGTCATCAGTGTATAAATACGTCCACACTGTAACAGTGGGACTCATTTTTCATACTGATGAGATGCTGCATTTGAACATATATGTTTACAATCAAAGACATCTTGACTTGATGTTTATAAGACATCATTTACAGTTGGTCATTGTTTAGTCCGAAATATTCTATACAGATTTGGAGAACGCATTGAGTCCATTCTTAAAGCGAATTAAACAATTCTTAATGAGTATTGCAGTAGCATGTCAAAGTAAGACGAAAGTAAAAATGCTGCAACTAAGTCTAAAAAGAAACAGAAACAGCTAAAAGGTGAAGCTACAAATTAGCCAAAAGATAAAAAAAGCCAAGAAATAGTTATTAATTCACATAATCTTATAAAGCCCAGCTCAAAACATACAAACTATAACATAATAAAATATACAACCAGAACATATTAAAAAAGGTCTCAGATGGACAGTTAACTCTGTTATGTAGCAGTACCAATATAGTACTGACAAGATTCCAGAGGCCTGCGTCATTTTTTTCTTTTTTTTTTTAAAATAATTTAATTTAATTTTGAATAAAGTTAGAAATAACCATTTTATGTTCAGGAATCGCTGGTCAGTGACGCATATGCTGAGTCCCGGCGCTAGGACCCTGAACACGTGAGCGTATTTTGTTTTGCCAGAAGGTGGAGACAGACTGTGAACAATGGAGGGACCTGACTGGTTGGGAGGACCAGAACACCCCGCTCCTCCTTCTCCACATCCCCCTGAGACCAGCCGGACAGACGGACCCCACGGACTGACCTGTCCACAGTGACTGCAGGACGCAGGGCTGACACGGCTCACTTCTGTCCAAGGTGGACTGTGCGCACAGAGCGCAGCTTCTCTGAGCCTCCAGTCTGGATGTGAATGAAAGGGATGGTTTCAGCGTGTGTGTGTTAATGAGTGTGTGTGTGTAGCGCTGAACTGAAGTGGGTCATGCGGAGCAGCGCTGGAGGAGCGAAAGATAAACACGATCACTCCTCCTCCACCTCCTTCTCCTGCTGCTGTTTTCCAGGTTGAACTGGTGCATGGCGCTCAGTGGAGGAATCCTATCACCTCCTCATCAGCATCCAGCAACCTCAGAAGATACTTCTGATATAACCAGCCTCTGGGAGAAAGTGTCCACAAGCAGGCAGCAGTTGTTGTGGACCACCTGCAGACATCATCATTATTTTTCACCTATGACTTTTGAGAATATCTTTCATTTCTGAAGGAGCTGCTGATCAAGAACTTCCCCCAACAAGGACATCTAGCCATCATTTTCCTGCAGATTTGAGAGGAGCAACAGCAGTTCGGATGCAGGACCATGGAGGAGAAAGACAGGTCGCCAGCAGGTGGGTGACTTCCTCTTTGGTGCAACCTGAAGTCTTGTAGATTATATTCCAAAAAAAAAAAAAAAAAAAAAAAATCAAAGACAATTTGACAGTTTTTTTTGTTTAAATTTCTTAAACACCACAGTTAGAATGTATGTTGATAGAGTGGATCCAGACTCTTGATGGGTCACAGCGGGCTTTTCAAGGGTTCGACAAATACTCTTGTCTTGTTTGGGCTTTTGTTAATGATTTATTAAAAGGGGAGTATATACCACATTAAAAACACATTGTTTACCAGTGTTGATTATTTTGATATGACATTGGTCTGTGTTTTTCATATATTTCCATTTTCTTAAAGAATATGACTTTAAATCAAACAGATCAGTTTGCATTAGGAATTTATTTTTTAAAGTTATATTATTAATGTAAAAAAAAAAGATTTGCTGTAGGCTCTTGATTCTGTTCGAACAGCAGGTCCTTACTTTTAAAACAGTATGGGAACACCTGTCTTTGTCCTGTGGTCCTGACCCACTCTGAGTGGAATATGGACAGGATATATACATATACACTGGATAGAGACAAGGGCATCCTGGCACTTCTCTTTTAATGGACCCTTTATGCTGTGTCCAGGGCAGAGAGGTGAGATCCCATCACTGCCGTCGTCCATCTGATGAATTTAAACGAGCAGGTGTCTTGTCTCGTCTTGTCTGCATCCAGCAAACCCTGTTAAATCTGGTGATGGACTCTGAAGTAGCCAAGACCCACGGGTTTGCTTCTGTCACAAACAATTTACTTGTCAATAAAATAGGAAAGAAAGAGCGGTGGTTCTTACACAGAGTTTCGGAACTTTAATCTTTGCATCGACACAACTACTGAATATTTATTCATATGTACAGCGCCTCTTTTAAATGCAAACAAAAGATGCAGCTGTGGTTCTCAAACACAAACTAGACCGAGCTTTGGACATTGCATAATGCTGTACAGTAGATCACATAACAAGCTAAACAATTTGTTATGAAGTTTGACAATTTCATAACAAAAGAAAAACAAGCTCAAACTAAAATGCCCTGAAATTGAACCGGAGTTTAAACGCACCTTTAATTCATAGTAAAACCTACCGTAACACCAGTAACTCCATATTTTAAAAAGCTGTAATCTATTTCTTGTCAAAGACATTGACGTGGGATTACAGATTAGATATACAGTAAATTGACTATAGATCGAGTTAGCTGGTAAAACGTAGTTAAATGTTAGCTCCATAACAGCAAAAATAACTTATTCAACAACAGCTTCAACTAATGTGAACCCAGATGTAGCTAATATTTGACCAAAAATATTCTTTACCACCACTTTTGATAGAAACATACAATACAAGAAAATAACTTTTGTCATTTAGGACCCAAACCCAACAGAAACATTATCGTCTTTAGGGAAATTACTGTGGTAATTCCACAGATTTTATTGTAATTGCTCATCATCTCAGCTGGAGAACAGCAGCCTAATGTCACCGCTGTCACTCAGTGATAAAACTGTGTGTATGTGTGTGTGTGTAAGGCAAAGGCTTTTGTACTGTCTGTGTTTATAATAATGGCCGCCAGTGATTTTTTTCCATCATTATACTTTATTAAAATCAGATGACATTTAGTTTTCTGTCAGAGTGGACCAACAAAATTACAACAAATTCAAATATTGGTAGCTAACACACCACAAACACCGTCGTCTGAGTGTAAACAACTAAATTGTCATTTAAAACTTACAAGTTACAGCTCCCAACATTTAATTCCTTCTTTAGTATTTAAGGAGCCGACACCTCTAATGTGCTAGCTAACTGACCATCAGACAATAGTATCTTATAAAGTGTTTTGGTTTCTTTTTTTGTTTGGGGGGGGGGGGTCTATGGTTCTATGGAAACCAGGAGCATGCTGCTTTTAATAAACAGTTTTAGCCTTCAACGGCCCTCTGGCCAAAAGCTAACATGTTGTTAGCTGTTAGCAAAATAGACAAACATGGAACAAACAAATACAAACTTTTGTATTTCCTATCCAAGACACAACATAACTGGGTGACTTAATTATTTGAGCACGTTGTTTTAGCAAAACCTGACCGTTATTGCAGAGAGAAAAAACGTACTACTTACCAAAATTACTAGCTTCAGTTACAAGCAGGACTTCTTGTCCTTGTGTTTGGAAGGACACATGACACGCTACAGTAAACAGTCCAATGTTGTATTGTCTATTTTTTGTGCTGCTTTTAGAAATGAATGTTTTTATCACACAGTGAATTAGCATTTGGAGCACTAGTAAACTGTTGTCAATACTAAAAATGGTTCGATTTTACGTTTCTGTTCCACAGACACAGTTAGTTGTCCTTTTAATACAATTAAAACAGAGCTGGATTTGACAAAGAGAGAGAGAGAGCAGGGGCAAGAGAGGTTGGAAGGACTGCCTCAGCAATCAGCATTAGTGCACACTGAGTGCTTCAAGGCTAATAGGTATGAGCCGGATCACAAATCACCGTACACTCTGGTTCCATGCCTTGAAGTGGAGGGTGAAATGTTTTGAAGGGATCAAGCATGAGGGGGAAATGCTATGTCCCCCTCAGCATTGATGTTACATCATTTGGCCACTCCCCCACTTAGACCCCATTTTACTCAGTTCCCATTAGAAACAATATTACCCTATGTATTGGACTTCAAAGAGATGGAGTCTATAGGAGGTGGTGGTACAAAGGGGTGTGCAGATTTAGTCTTTGTGGATTTACCCAATCCAGCTGCTTCTCTCTCTCTCTCTCTCTCTCTCTCTCTCTCTCTTGCATGCAAGCATGGATACACACACACACACACACACACACACACACCAATCTTCCTATTGGAACTTGGAGCTATTGGATTGTGACAGAGTGGGGTTAGGAACAGTGTGTTCCCTCACTGCTCATTGCAGTGCCATTTCAGTGGTGAATAATTTTCTATATGGTGATGATGTTGGTTATGACGACTCATGTTAAAGACCAGAGGCTAAACTGTAAAACCACTTGGCTGCAGGGTGCAATGTTCGTCAATGTTCAAGTCATCTTTTCGCACATTTTGACATGTATTTATGTAGAGAGAAGTTCATATAGTGTGATAATCACAAATGGAAATATATTATTGTAAAGCCTGAATTCATACACATTTGGCTCCAAAAAAATCAAACTGACACTACAGTTTAATCGCTGGTTTGAAACCGTTTTCCCCTTTTCAAAAATATCTGCTCATTTCAAACATTCATTCTTCTAGATTCTAATTTAACTCCTGTGTCTCAGGTCATTCCAGATGAAATGCAGTGGTTGGTTAAAGTAAATGGGTTTCAGCCCACATCAGATCTGTGAGATATACAGTAGAGAGCACCACAGGTGAATCAGTGACGGGTACACAGCAGGGACCCTCCCTGTAGGCAGCCTGGCACAGGTGTGAGCGGGCCATTTGTTAGAGTGACTGTCCGTGGCCTGTGCTGCTGGCTGGCCTATCACAGCATAGCAGGAGATTTTTTTCCCACCATGTGTTCAGGTGTTGCAAAAAAAACAAACAAAAAAAAAACAAACAAACATAGAATCTCGAGACTCTGATGCTATGGGCTGCTGAGATTCAGTTTTTGCAAGCAGTTTGGAACAAAGTGTCCTGAATCTGTGGACGACTACAGACAACAGATTAGTGCTCAACGAAATGTTACGATTCTGAAATAAATAAAAAATAAATAAATGTGTACTATATTGATCCCATATTTGGGAAATTGTTGTGTTAGCAGCAGATATGCTGTTAACAGGCTTCCCTTAGCAAGCACCAAGCATGTGGTTCCTCTGGGAACTAAACCCAGGACTCTCTGTTCTCTGCTTCCAAGGCAGGTGTGCTAACTGCTACACTATGGAACCGAATTTTTTTCATTGCTGTAACACTACAACCTGTAAGAAGTAGCTATAACTGAAAACCAATCAAAAAGTGAGATACAAACAGCCTTACGTTGTGATTGGTCGTTCTGTTTTGACTTGCAATTGCCATTAAGCTTAAATGGCTTTTTAAGGAGCAATTGCAACATGGCTAGTAGTTCGAGCTAACTCCTAAGCTCACTCCCCATTGTAGTTTGCTCACAAGTTGGGACAAGGTGTTACTGTATAAAACACTTGGCATACAACCCACAACCCTTAGTGTCAGCGCTGCTGACTTAAGCTGAGCATTTTGACAGAATATTGGACACAGGAGATCAGTCTTCAACCTTAATGACTCTTCTGCCCTGGAGCAAAACAACTAGTCCATTAGTATTAGAGACGTGCAGCAGGCTCAGCAATCTATTTATTTACTTCATTAGTCCCTTGTTACAAGTTCAGAGACAGATCAGAGAAGGATGTTCAATAAGAGGAAAAAATCTGGAGAGAACAAACCCAGCTAGCAGCTGGAAATATGCAGGAAAGGCTGGTAAAACTTTACTATGATGATTAGTTCAACTTTACTTTAACCTTTCAGAGGGTTATGGCAACTAATATTTCACTGCAGCTAGAAAAACAACTTATAACACAACGCATAAAAACCTATTATTGTTATAAAGAATGTAGTTTAAGCATTTTATTTTTGCTTAAAACCCAGAGCAATTCCCCACATCTTGCCAACTTTCTGCATTGTTTAGTTTAACAATAGTGACATGGGCTGTGCTTTAAGGGCAATAATCCAAGGGCCTACTCAAACAATGGATTTTAAAAAAAAGTTACCTATTATTTAACAAGTACTTTCTGCATTCATTTATTTTCTACAATACTTAATCAGGCCACGCATGTGTATATATTTACACATTATGTCTGAATAGGACCTCAACTAAGTACAAACACTTAGGCGTTAACTTAGTGAAAGCCCAGCCTGAGGCTGCACAGAGTCAGAGTGTGTCAGGATCAGCAGGTGCCAGTGGCTTCTCTGTTCTCCTTTCTAGCTTTGGCTGTTTATGGAGTAAAAGGTCAAATCAGTATAATCTTGGCACAGGGACACGTGGACACAGACACAGAGTGTGGTCGTGTTCTTCAAGATTTTTTTTATGGAAGCAGGTTTTATAAAGATGGTTGTACCGCGGATGCACTTATCTCATTTTTGAGTCATTACTGAATAGAGTAGGATTGTCAATGTAGATTTAAAAAAAAATGAAAACAGATTGCTGCCTCTGACAAAAAAAAATCCTGTTGGTTTATAATTAAGAATGAAATAGATAAATAATAATTTTTTTTTGTTGTTCATTTAAATCGTAGTTGTTTTTTTTAATGCAGGTCAGTCATTGAAGAATGAACGGCAGCTCAGGGCTCCTGTTTTAAAAGGCTCACAGACCGTTGACTATCAGTACCCTGTCTCAAAAACCCACATGTGTCTAGAGCCAAAAGTCCTCATCAGGATGCAGAGCCCGTTAGTGCTAGCATTGTCTCCAACTGCCTGAAAGGACAAGGAGCGGGTGCAGAGGGCAGCATCATGGGAAATCAGCTGGGTGTGCACCTCTATAGGCGGAGAAATGCACAGCTGTTCTCTCTTTACTACCTGTGACAGTGTCACTGTGTACCTGACACACCTGACCTTCAAGACACTCACGCCGTACAGGGCCCAGAACCATGTGACTTCACCATCACGCCTCCTAAAGTCCGAGGCCCAGCACTGGCACTGAGGAGTGGTGGGTAGCACCGACTCCCAGCCATTCATCACAGTTCAGGCGTCCTAATCCATTTGAACAGAGGAAATGGGAGTTAAACATCCTGTGCTGTTTGGTGAGGAAGGGAGGGCCCTCTGCTCTTTGTATGAGCTGAATAATGTGATTAAGAACCAGCTCGTGGAGCTGACTGGAAGTTCTGGATTGAATCACCAGCTCTGCCTTAAATTTATTAGACATACTTTTTTATCATGGCTTTCAATAGCATCCCATGTTTGTTGATGCCAATCACCAGCAAATTTTTTCTTTTATCCCCTGATGTCCCTGAAGCAGCTTAAAGTTCACCAAAAGCAGCATAAATGTAAAAAACAAAAAAACACCTCAAGATGTTAAAAGTTGATAAAAATAAACAAGTTAGTACATTTATATCTATAAAAGTGGGTCACTAATTGGACAGTATATTAATGTTTGCTGAAAATGTAATTAAAATACTTCAAAAATAGGTATAAAGACTACTTCAAAGTTAGCATAATAATTGTTAAAAGTTAGTGCCAAGATGTTGGCACATTTTTCAAAAATCAATTTGCACTTCACAAATTCCACGACTTTGTTTATTTCATTCTGCAACCGAAGATTGTAACTGAGATATCTGTGTCCATGTCTTTAATACGGAAACTCAATAAAGACGTATGAGGGCAAGATAAAGTAGATGAGGTCACTGCTTCTGAGTCTCTATTTTTAAATGCTTCCACAAACATAATTATTCTTGGATTGAAGGCTGAACAGAACTGGAGACTAATGAGCATTTGATCAAATTGTTTTGGACGTTTTCCAAAAATGGCAAAGAAAACATTTTCATGGGCAAAAAAGAAAAGAAAAAAGAAGATAAGTTAATTTTTCACCTCATGCCAACTGGCCGAGGGCGATGCAGCGGGCAAACTCAGCATGAGTGGGCTCCAGTATCCACAGTCTCTTATATAACTGTCCATATTTATTAGAATATCAAGACACAAGTGTGATCTTAAGAGATGCATAAGAAACACCGGGCTGTGTTTTTCTATTTGTAGCGTTTATTGTTTCTCTTTTCTGACAAAGTGAGCCGAGCCAAGGAAACTGCGCCGCAAATGGCTGCATCCTATTTTAACTTTTGCTCTGTGAAAGCTATATTTATCACAGTCTTCCCACAAGAACATCAGCGCCTTCCGATTGTCTGAGCAGAATCTTTCTCCTCTACGTTGTCATGAAGCGTACGTTGGTGTCAGCAGTATTCTGATTTCAAATGAAGTCAAAGCTGAAGTTCTAAGAGACTGGCCTGAGGGAGAGCGAGAACACAGGACAGCAGTTGAGTGACGGATGACAGAGGCCATCAGCCAAATTGTTTTTGCTGATTTGATGCCTATTAGTGTGTGTGGGTGTGCATGCTGTGCATGATTGGGTGATTAAATTTGACTGTAAGTACCAGGAAGAGGGGAAGGGGAGTGGGGGGTGGTTGAAAAGAGACAGAGACAATGGGTGCGATCATTAGTGTGATACACTTCGTTTCATCAAACCCTCTATTTTGCGGCTGCCTGTTCAACTGTGGCAGCTTTGTCTTTAATGTTTCTCACCATCCCCTCAAACAGCAAAACATGCTCTCAAATATTTAAATAAAATTCTTCAAAGTTTGAACATTTCTTGCGTGACTAACACCGTATAGACTTCTCCTTATTAGTAGTTGAAGTCCATGGTGGAAATGATCAGACCCCAATGGAACATTATTTTTGTTACAGCTTGTACTTGTTATAATGAGGACTTTTAATTGGTCTTTTGCCTTAAGTTGTTGTTGTTATTTAAGGATGATTTTCTTTATATACCAGACAAAGGAAATAGATGAGGAGATATAGCTTAACCAAGACATTGCTAAAATTAGCTATACTTAGCTTAAACATATCAAACAAAGAACTGATAGTTAGCCAACTAAAGCAATACGTCAAAAAGACACGTGCAATTTCACTGAACAAAGACTTAAATAAATATAAGTACCTGTATGTACCAACAAATATAACTAGAGAATAATAGCTTGAAAGTTTGTTAAAATATTATTGTACATGTAATGTATTTATAATAAGTGTTAGTAAACAATAACAGCAAAGGTTTCAGTTGAAATTCTGCAACAACAAAATAATATTCACCAAGTGAAATGCATATGAGACTACTTAACCTTAGTCAGGCTGAAATACAGCTAGACTTAACAAAACAGGTAAGTAAGGTCAACAGAAATGTAAAACCCAAAGTGAAATGTGAGTTAAAGCACTAACCTCTCTCTGATAGATAACTATATGTACCAGCTAGGACCAAAAAGCTAACATTTAGCCAAAAATATGTTTTGGCACTTATGATAAATGGCTAAAAAAAGCTAAAACATAGAAACCTTGATTGCCCTGTTCTGTATGTATGCACTACATTACCAGACGCATCAAACTCAAAGGTGTTTTCTTGGCACCTGTTTCTTCTTGCCACAGTCTAGCATGACCTCCAACTTGGACCGCGCAGATCTCTCAGACAGTTGGTAGATTGCCTTAAAGTCATGCATACACCTGTATCTGTCAGCTCTTCTCATTTGTTTCCATTTGCTGGTCCTTCAGCCTGATCATATTGATTTTCCAATCGCTGCTTGCCAGTAAGTGCTGTCTGCGACCATATCTGAAAACTGGCCAGAGTGATCTACAGGGACAGCAGGAAGTCCAATGCATTTACTGAAAGCACTTCTCCCCCTGTTGTTGCCTTCGTTGAATTGATTGTATGAGAACGTCTGGGAAGGTCTGTTGAAGCTTTCCTGAGTTACCCATCCTCAGGGAGAGGCTGCACAGGCAACAACGCAGGGAAGAAAGCCAACAAACATAAAGCCGAGGAGCTGTTTTTCCATAAACAAATCATTGCTTCATACAGGATCAGCGGACAATACACTATTGGACTCTAAAGCCTTGTTCTCTACCTTTAGTCTGCCCCACAGTGTCAAGGCGAGCCTGTCTCTTTCTCCATCGGGGCCGGGAAGGGTGAGCAGTGGTGGGGGCTCTCCGACGTCTAAAATGGACTACTGCGGAGGGGTCCCAGTGGAGGACATGCAGGCCCTGGCCATCACCTCCTTGTCTGCATCAGATGTAGCCAAACAATATGAGCACATCCGCGAGCTGGGGAAAGGCACGTACGGCAAAGTGGACCTGGTGGCCCACCGTACACAGGGTGAGGTTTGCTGTTTCCTCATTACTATACTACTTAGTCTTGTTTCTCACAGTATTAGAAAAAAATCTTAGTTGTCATCCTGTAGCAGGTCAAGGTTAGCTGAGATAAAGTAGCAATAACTACAGCAGATACTGCTATTGGTTAGCAAGAAATGTAGCCTATAGTTGTGGAGAAGCCAGAGTTGTTTTTGTTTTTTTTAAATAAAAGAAAAATGTACTGGCTGGCAATATATAGCTTCAGATTGACAATTTAGCCCAAAAATGCTAAAAGTAACCAAAAGAATAACCACTGTATAAGTGTGACCTCAAAACAAAACGTTAGCAGCTATAGGAAAAAATGAAAGCTATAAAAAAAATGACAAGTAGCTAAATAAAGATGATGAGTTTGCCAAAATAATACTATAAAAGATGAATTATCAGCCAAAAATACTTTAGAAAATGTAATAAAAACTACACTAGCTTTACAGGCCTACTGTATATATAGTAACATCCAGTAAATACATGAATACTTTTTGTTCCTGTTAGTACAGCATGCTCGGTCTGAAGGCAGTAAAACTGCAGTGTGTACAGGGAGGCTGAGAGAGAGCATTATGGGTATTATGTGAACATTAAACAGCCTCTGTTCTATATTTGCACAGCTCTTATAAGGAGCAGCTGGTTGCACATGTGTGTACAGTAAAGGGGCTGAGACTCATTCACTGCACACGTTTATCTGAATGAATGTAGCACCTGTTCAAAGACAGAGGGGATTTTACACCAAACTAAAATACTTCAAATTCACCTTGGTGTGCTGACCTGAGTTAAATCCAACACAGAAATTCAATGGAGCAGAGTTTATATTTATCTATCCCTGTTGTGCTGTGCTTATATTTGTAGGCACCAAAATGGCATTAAAGTTTGTTACCAAAAATAAGACCAAGCTGAAGAGCTTCCTGCGGGAGTACAGTTTGACGGGCTCGCTCAGCTCCAGCCCCTTCATCATCAAAGTCCTGGACGTGCTCTTTGAGACAGAGGACAGCTACGTGTTTGGACAAGAATACGCTCCCGCCGGGGACCTCTTCGACATCATTCCGCCGCAGGTAGCGCTATGATCCCTCTCTTCTACCAATCACTGTGCTCTCTCAGCTCCTGCTGCTCCAATCACTGGCCTCGTTGAGAAACAGTGGTTTTAACAAGATCTCCTGGGATTGGAGCCGTGTCTTGTCTTGTTTTCTGTCAGTGCTGAACTCTTACTTTGCCATTGTGCTACTACTCCAGTTGATTTGTTGGCCAAACTTTACAGCTCTTTTTAAAGACTAATTAGAAGATCTCAGACTCTCTTGTATCAGCTTTTCCTGTTAGAAGAATCATTTTTACAAAAAATTGGCCGAGGGCTCGAGACCAGATCAGTTAATAAAAATCTTACAATGGTTGCCTACAGGTATTAACTAAAATGAACTCTTGTGTTATTATAAAACAGCCAATGCTGGGGAGTAATACTGCCCTCTGTCCATGTTTCCCTTTCTTCATCCAAGTTGTTACAATGTTTTAGGCAAGAATTGCTTAGAGAGAAAAAAGGTTGAAGTTATAAAACTGGAAAAAAAAATTTAGAAAAGTAGCAACATTGCTGGACAGTTAACGAGTTAGGGTTAAAGTCACAATATACTAAAGCATCCTCAAGTAAAATACACAAAGAACGGAAATCTACTGGTGTAAAAAATATCTATGACAAATTGGACAATGTTGTACCATATATTTTGTCTGTATTTGTCCTAAATCCCTCCTCTGTCCTGTCTCCTCCCTCCAGGTGGGTCTGCCTGAAGAAATGGTCAAACGCTGCATGCAACAGTTAGGCCTGGCCCTGGACTTTATGCACAATAAACACCTGGTGCATCGGGACGTCAAACCTGAGAATGTTCTCTTGTTTGACTGCGAGTGCCGGCGCATTAAACTCGCCGACTTTGGCATGACCAGGCGAGTGGGTTGCCGTGTTAAACGGGTGAGT